CTGGGCAAAGCAAACCCTTTGATCACCCAGCATTACGAGAGCAAGACCCTCCAGGAGAGAACTGTGGACCGGTGGCTGACATGCAATCTCTGCTTGGAATATGAATATTCGTTTCACACGGCAAAAGAGTCAATGCACTGCTTGAAAAGCAAACACGTGCAGATTCACTCCTCACGGCAGGAATAAACCAGTGTGTTTGCACCCTCAACTGCAAGCTTCCTGCATTGCTGCCCGTGAACAACTACTAATACTGTTTTCGGCAGGGCGCAGGCGAATCCAGAGAGCATCATGCAACCAGACGAAAGAGTGGACCTATATAGGCAAGCTGCTAGAGTGAATGCAAGAAAGTGAAAACCAAGGGTTCCAAAACTGGAACATGAAAGTCGCGGTTGCCCTCCGTCCTTCGTGTCCTGAGTGTAATCCTCTCGTGGGCTCTTTCGCGTTTCTTTCATAGGTGCCCTTTTTGGTTGGTTTGGTGAACGGAAAGTGGCTACGCTCGTTGGTTTTGGTGGGTTTCCCATCATTGTTCCGCAAAGGCGCTTGGTCGGATTGGAAGAAAGGCTTGGCCCTTTTGTCGCCTTGCCGTCGCTTTTTTGTTTTCTCCCAAAGCGGACGGCTCCGGCTTCCGCCTTCCCAGGAGGAGGACCTCAAGAAGCTGGGCGAAGGCCTCCGTGGCGGCCTGAAGCAGGCGATCGACAACATCCTCAAGGCCATCACGTCTCAGGGCGCAGTGGGGCAGTTGGGCAATTGGGCAATTGGGCACCTCTTTTTCCGGCTTTGGCACTTCTTTTTTTCCGGCTTTTGCTGTCATATAAGATGTACAGCTTGTCTTTGCCAATCTGGTGCTCCGTCACTTTGGTTGGTGTGTCTTATCATTTGCTTGCTCCTGGTTGTTTCTTGATTCGCCTGTCTGCCAGTTTCGGTTTTTGTGTAGTTTTTGCATTCTTTCCAGTCTGATTCTGGGCTTGGTTTGATTGCTTTTTGCCCTGCTTGTTTGTTTGGGTTTGGGTTTGGCTCGGGCTTTGGCTTTGGTTTGTTTTTGGCTTTGGCTTTGGCTTGTTTGTTTGTTTGTTTGCTTGCTTGCTTGCTTGCTTGCTTGCTCGCTTGCTTGCTTTGAGGATTGTTTGCGGTGGATTGTTTGTTTCGGATTGTTTGTTTTGCTTGTTGTTTGTTTAAGCTTACGTGTTTCGAAATTTAGGATTGTTTGTTTGGGGTTGTTTCTTTTTGTTTGTTTGTTTGCTGTTTGTTTGCTTGCCCGTTCGCCTGTTTGTTTGCTTGTTTGTTTGTCTGTTTGTTTGTTTGTTTGTTTGTTTGTTTGTTTGTTTGCCATTCTTGTCAGATTGTCCGCGGCTAACGCTGCGATTCCCTTTGCACCTGGACTTCTTTAGGAGGCAGTGGATACGCCAGGTAGTGAGTTGTCTCTGTCCACATCTGGACGAGTGACCTTGCTGACCTGCTGGCTTGCTGGGTTGGTGTGGCTGAGCTGGGCTTGCTCTCTGCTTTGCTCTTTGCAGGCCTAGCTTGGCTGCGTGTTGCGTGGCAAAATTGTTTGCCAGGCTTGTTAAGGTTTTGTTTGCTGCTTTGATTTGCTCACTCCTGCTAGTTTTGCCACATGTGTGGGGCCATTCGTGATGAGTGGTGCGCTCATCCAGAAAAGCGCATAGTAAGTACTCAGGAATTCTGTTGCCGGCACGTTACTTTCAGGGCTTGCCAAACTCAGGTTGGCTCACCTTCCTGGCACCTTTCAAATTCCTCACAGTTTTTGGCCGCCTCCACCCGATGGTCACAGGTGAAGGGCGCCAGCGAGCTGCTTTCCTCGGAGCCCAACTTGAAGACGGCGCGCGGGGGGGGGGGAGGGAGGCGAGAGAGTGGGGGGAGGAAGGACTGGAGTTGTGTGTGCCTGCATGACTGGAAAGAATTGGTCCAACTGGTTTGGGGGTTTGAGGGTATTCCTTCCAGAACCTAGAAGTGGATCCCATGGAGACTAACCCAATCACAAGCCCACTCTGCACGAGATGAACTTCGGGTTGTTGGAGCTGCCTTGCATTTGTAGGAGATCATGCCCCAACACCCACCGTGTCCAGGGCCTTTTCCGAGCAAAGTTGCGTGCCAACAGGCCAGCCCATGCCAAGCCATTGGCGAGTGGGATGCCTCCCTTGCCCCGATTTATCCACCTTGCAAAGGGCTCGCTGCAGGGCCACAATGTAGCCACACAACGCTCATGAGGCTTCATAGGGCTGCAGTGCAAGTCAATATGCCCACTTCTGGAAGTGCCCTCGGGTTTTGACAAGGCATCTTGTGCTCCCTGACGCATGTTCGTCGGACAGCCAGGCCATTATGATGCGCAAGCCTTTCCTGGATGCTACCCATGCCATCCAGGCCGAGGTCTTGAAGAGGCAGGGCATCTCAACAAAAGATCGTTCCTTCGGCAGCTTCTGCAAATCACTCCCCTCGCCGGAAGATGACGCGCGGCACTCTGTGAGCAGACTTCGCGTTCAAGCTTCTACCTTTTCTTCAACATGAGGGCACACGGAGAGCTGCATTTCAACAGATGAGCAGTCAGTCCCCACACCCAAGGGTCGCGTTTGCTTTCAGGATCTAGGGGCGCAGGTGACAACAGGGACGGCGTGAACGAGCCAGGGTGCCAACGTAACGTCGTCGCTGAGACAGATCGTCCTGTCATGCTGCGATTCCATTACTTTCCCAACTTGAGCCGGCAATGTCAGCGTCAGCCTCAAAATGTTACTAGTGTAGACGGGCAATCCGGGGCCAGGAGGCGAATCATCGCGCCGCCAGATGCACAGCGCCTCGACTCATGTGGATAGGAATGTAATGACACGTTTATTTCTTTTCCGTGTGTCAGATGCTTTTCATCCGGAAAATTGGCTCTTGTCTCCCCGTATGTCCCAACTCTCGTTTTATCTTCTGCATGACTCTCTTACTTCTCTTGCTTCGATTCTGTGATCGATCCTGGGATGACATACCATTCTGCCCATAGCATCGACCAGCAGACTTTCCACTCGCAGAGAGGGAGTGAGGCTCACTAGCATGTACCGTTCACAGCGATAGGCCTGAGTAGTATCACAGCATTTGTCGTGCCTGCTTTGCTGATGCGGTCGGTCTTTGTAGAGCATCATGTATTTTCTTGAGCTAGCGGGCTACTGACTGGCCGTGGCACCAGAAATGTCCTAGCTCTCGGCACGCACAGGTCCGACCTGTTGCTGTCAGCAGCCGAGCCTCTTGCTTCGCTTCCGTTTCGTCCAACCTCTTGCTTCGAATCTGAGACCGGAAACTTGCGCGAGGCTCCGTGGCACAGAGGGCGAGGTGCCGCCCGAGCTGCGCGACGCCATGATCATCAGCATCCAAGGCAGGTACAAATGTGGGTGCATGGGTGCCAGGAGCTTGGCGCGAGACGCAAGTTTGCACTTGTTTAAGCATAGGCACATACCAAAGGGATGGTGTAGACAGTCAGCGCCATTTGAATCTTGGACTCGTATACCTTCGCATGAAGTGCCTCCATCTAGCCGCAGAGTGGCCCGTAGGCATTGCCGCTGGCATGCAGAACACCGGCTGAGTTCGCCCCAGCAGCGGCATGTGTCACTGCCGCTTGCCTATCGCTCTCCAGAAGGAGTTGTCAAATTGGAAAGCATTCCCAGCAGATGATGTGACATTATTTGATGGTTGATTGCAGTAGATGTCAATTTCGCTTGTTTCCAGGCTTTTTGGGCCACGACGTGGTTATGTAGGGATTGAACGTCTTGCGGCGACTATGCCGTTAACCTTCGATGATAGCAGGACGCGGGTTGCTGGTCCTCAGGGGTCGTCACCAAGGCAGCTTGTGCTTTCAGGCTTTCTAATTCTCACATCGCATGAATGACGACAGTTGCCCGGAAATCTTTCTGAGGTTTTTGCCGGCACAGCTACCTGCAACACCCCTTGCTTACTACCACAGATAGGAGGGTTGTGACACCAATCTTTCAAGTGCAAACAGTTTTCAGTCTGCGTCAAGTGTACAAAAAGCAGGTTTGCTTTACTAGATTGCGCACGTGTGGAGCGAAGGCCACGCTGGTTGTTTTTTCGTTGGACTAGTTGCGACTCTCCGCAGTGTCCGCGCAGCTGGGGCAAAAGTTCGATTTAGGGAGTTCGGAGGTTCATTCTCAATGTGTCCACTGATGGTTGCGTGCCAGCTTCACAGCATCTTTAGGTGCCGAAGAAGCCAGAAGGTAAGATCATAGGCGAAGTGGGGACATGTTTCATTTTTTGTTTTGTGCTACTTGCTTTGAGGTCTTCTTCCATAAGCCAGAGAGGTCGAACAAACTTCGAGCATTCATGGGTAGACACGTTCCGAAAGGAGCGCAACTACGGGCCCCTGAACGGCCTTGCCCCAGCTTCCGTTTTCCACCGTTAGCACGTGGCGGCAAACACTGCGGAACACGAGCAGCGATGCGCTTTCAGTGTAGGAGCGGTGTCAGGTGGACTTTTTGGCTGCCCAAAGCGAAAAGAGAAACCGGGTTGCCGTGAAGAGAACATTGTTGAAAGATGATGCAAGCCTGACTCCGCTTGACTCCAAACACGCTGAAGGCGCGGTCACTGCCTCCGGTGCATACAGGGATTTTCATGGATTTTCCGGTGGATGCAAAGGCAAATCGGAGCTAGCTTCGCAGCTGGCCACATCCTTATTTTACAGGACTCCTCGAAACTGCCTCCGCAGTCAGACAGAGCTCCACAAGGGACGCTTGACAAAAGTCGTGCGTGCACTCAGGCAGTATTATCCCAGTATGCTGGGACAACATAGGTGCCGAACTGTCTTATCAAGAGTAATTGCGGAAGCTATATGTGCCGACAACTCCCCCTATGCACGATCTTATTTCAACCGTCACCTAAACGCTTCAATTTCGATACCCAATCCAATATGCTCTTGCAACCTCGCCAAGTTTGCTTGGGGCAGGGATGCAGGATGCTACTGCCACGGGGCCGTGGCGAACCGCCAATGCCTTCAGGAGCGCGACAACTTTGCCATGGTCATGTCCATGCTTGTGGACCAACACGGCGAGGCCGGATCAAGTCTCGGCCCTTGGTGCGAGGAGGGGCCAAAAGCTCGGTTGGTAACACGAACAGGAAACTTTCTTCCCGGCCAGCCTTGGGAAGCATGGGCAGGCCCCTCTAATTGCATCTTGTTGTCGCCTAAGAAAAATATTGTCGGCAAACCCTCACACATTTGCCTGCATATTGGCGGGACTTTTTCTCCTGGCCGCCAAGAATTCCGTCGGAAGCGGACTGATTCGGCAGAGATCGATGGCTTGCCAGTCGGAGTTGGAGAGCTGCGGCACCCAGGCGCTTTGCGGGGCAGGTTCTCGGTTGATTCGGCGCATTGGGAAAGACTGGGTGGGTGGCTGGGTTGCTTCTTGCTTGGTTGTCTATTTGTCCAATGACCACATCATTGTTTGCAGCAACCAAAGTATGCGGGGCATGAGGCATGAGCTTGCGCCCTGACAAGGTCCATGCACAGAGGTTGATATTGTGTCACCCTCAACCCCTGAAATGACTCGCTGGTATTGAGTCTGACAGAGCCGCATTCAGCGGAACCATCAGCTCACCACGATCATCAGCATCATCGGTTCGCCCATGATCCAAGCATTTGTTTAATTTGTGGCGCCTTATGAAAGCCCGGATCCGTGAACAGGATCTATTGTTAGAATGTGCGACTCCGCAAATTTGAAGGTTCGCTGACGGAAGGTTCAAGTCTTGAAGTTCAAAATGCGTCGCTCAATCGCGGGAGCCTTTCAACCAGAGTAGCATGGGGTTTGCGGGCCCTAACTGCGTCTTTTGCGCAGTTTCTAATGTGACATGACTTGAACAACACCAATGTTTCTGAGAAACGGCTGCAATCCACTGAAAGGTGATGATAGAAGCCAGTGCTGCACTATGGTACTGAGGTACAGCGTCAACTTCTGTTGCCTGCAAAAAGCATGCGATGCCACGGTCATCATGAACTGCTGATGTTTCTATTAATGCGGCTGTCATGAGCAGTCCAAACTCTTGTTTGCTCCCAGACCCGCGCGGATTGCGGGCACTCTTTCAACCCCCAAAGTCACACAGCCTCACAGATGCTGCCAATAGGTGACGATGCCACCTGCAGTGCCAGCCGCCTGAGCCCACGCTGATCCGCTTGTCTCACCCGAGCCTAAGATCATTTTTCACAGCCTTTTCGGCACAAGGCCGGACCAGAAATTTAGAAGGCGCTGCTGACAGTATGACGGCATGCTGATAGTAGCATGCTGACCATCTTCATGTTTGTCTCTCAGTTTCAGATTTGATGGTGCGGTCGGCAGCGCTGGATCCGGATAATCGCTGCGTTGCTCGCCGGGCTCTAGTCCCAGGAGGGGCTGCTTGTGGAAGCTGCATACAGTCGGAAGTGCGCATTGCGATCTATACAGGCAATGACGGGGTGCACGGAGAGAGAACATCAACAACAACACATTTAATACCTTCTTGCAGTTGCTTGCAGTGTTGGACGTTGACGATCTCGTTTTTGTTTGCAGCTGATGAAAAGCTGTGCCCTTTGTAAGCATAGTTCACCTTTTAGAGAGAGAGAGAGAGAGATATAGAGAGCTCTGTTCTAGCAATGTTATTTGCTATTGGCCAGGCTTGATTGCTATATTTTGTTCTCGGGGGCCAAGTTTGGTGATCCCACTCTTTTGGTAAGCTTCTTGCTCAACATGAGAGTGGCTCGAGCCTCAAGTCAGGATTTATGAGAGAAGACAGTGTTGACGTATTTCATACTGTCAGGTTCCATCAGTGTGCCGCTCCGATCTTTCATAAGATGCCGACTCCAGCGAGCCTGAATTCACCTCGTGGAAACTGCTCTCAACGAGCCGTTGCTCTGACCGTTGCTTAGGGCCCAAGCAGTGAGAAGAGACTTTGGCTTGCTCCAAGTGCTTGCTTGCGGCACTACTTGTTTCTTCTTCTTTATTTTTTTCTGGTATATGTTGTTTTCCTGAGACAGGTCTTGCTCTCCACGAGTGATGTTGGCAAGGATGATAGGATGATGGCAGGCAATGGTCAGACTGCACCGCAACGGCTGTTCGGGGTCCCAGTGGCCGAGCTAAGTTTGTGATGCGGATACTCCGCGCTGTTGTCTTCTGGCTGAAAAATGTTTAGAGTTTGTGTCAGCTGGCAAGTCTTTCTGGGATTAGGAGCTAGGAGTGCCTGCGCACGCCTGTGCTGTGGAAAAGGTGCAACTGTTTCAGCAACAGAATGCTGGGCAGTTCTGGTCCGTGACGGTCACAGCACTCTCGAATCAAATGAAGAGCAACTTTTCAGGTGAGTGGCAGAGAGCAACATTTGGTGGCTTCCAGACAGTTTCTTGGATTGTGCTTTCCGACTTTACGAATGCCCGCGGTGACGCTTTGGCTTCAAGCTACGTGTATTCAATAATGCACGGCAGTTGAGAGGGAAACATGTGGCAGAAGGCTCATAACATCCTTCCATGAATACTGTAAAGAGCCGGAGAGGAACTGGACAGGATTCCGGTGAGTTCATCACCCAGAACAGGTTCCTACTCCGCCTGGCCAAATTCCTACACAGCGGTTTCTTAGAAGACATTGAAAGCAAAGAGGTCCGCATCAGGCCTCAATGGCAGCATGCCGTATGTGGACATCGTTGCAGGCATGCTTTGGCTTTACGTTTCAGCAGGGGATCTCACCACTGGCTGGAGATGGCTGAAGCTAGCGACGTCAATGAGATGGTTTGCTGGGCCGTGCTTCTTTGTTAGTGATCTCACAATTCACACAACATTGCTTTGAAACCGCTGCAAGTTCCCCCTTGACAATCGGTTGTGCCAGCTCTCTTCCATGCATGGTAGCTGCAAAAAGCCCTCGATCCATGTGATTGACTGGGGTGGAGACGGAGTGGGATCGTGGAGATTCGGACGACTGACAGACTGAAGTCCGCGGGAGGAACATACTGTTACAGTGTCGGAGTATATCAGAGTGCAATAATACTGATACTGTGTCACAGTTTATGAGTTCCTCTCAAAGCAGCAGTCTAGCTAATCACAACTACCTCCCCGGGGGGGCCAAGCAGCATCACCCATGATGACGGTTCCTTTCTAGGCACCTCAGCTCGGCGTCCATCTGCCTCAGGTAGGCCCAAGCAGGGCTTGGCGACCCCTCCTCTTGGAGCGCCAAGCGTCCGCAAAGCGGTGGTGGTTTGTTTGGGGACCCTGGCCTGGATTCACGCACGCTGCGGTGCGGACTTGGTTTTTCTCCCTTGATGCGGTCTCGCTCACCAGCCTCAGCTTTGTGGGGAGCAGCGACGGGCTGGCATGGTTTATGGCTTCGCCCTGCGTTTTGCGCTGGAATTTGTTTGGAGCGAACATGGTGCGCACAATGTGCAGCCTTCAGCTTCTGGCCAACACGCAGCAATTCGTGCGAGGTGAGCTACGCCCGTTGGTTTGCACTCGTGGCTCTCCGCTTGCCGTCTGGACTTCGTATTCGCCTTTTCCTTATTCCCTCGTGCAGGCGAGGTCTTTCTTCGGAAGTTGCGCGTTGCATTCTGCTCCGCTTTTATGGTGGTGCGGAGGGCCGAGTTTTTCGAGCCTGGGTTGGTGGAGGTGATCTTCATGGGTCTTGTGCGGTGTGTGGAGTGCTTCGCCTCCCCTCGTGATGGTGCTTCGTATCTCGCATGGGCTGCTTCCTGCCTATGCTCTGGCCGAGATGACCGACCTGGCTCGACATGTGACCAGGTCTTCGGGCATGACTTGTGCTCTCACTGCATGGTAGTGGAACTTTGTTGGGTTTACTCTTCCGCTTTGATTGTGGCTACTGCACAGGTGGCTTCTCCTCTGGCAGTTTTTCCCGCAGTCCCGGCTGCGTTAGCGCATTGCTGAAACTTGACTGCCATGGTCTGCATCCCTCCTTGTACAGTGCCTCATGCTGCCTGCTTACCTGGGTGGCTCCCTCGCATGTTGTCTGTTTCCCACAGTGCCACCCACGCAGATTGGGTGTTGTGCGTGGTGCGGCGCGGTTAGCCGCAGTGGTTGGGCCTCACGTGCCGGCGCGCTGGTCGCCCATCATGTCTCAGGAGACGCTTGGGCTTCGTGGAGATGAAGGTTCCTTTCTTCGGCATGCATGGGTTTCAATTTGTTCAGTTGCAGTACTATTCCCGCCCAGAGCATTTGAACCCTGGGAGGCCTGTTGCTAGTGAGGGAGCGAATCACGTTGTGTCGGCGCGTCTCGCAAAGCGTTGCGCCACGTTCAGGTGTGACCAGCTTCCCGCCGCTTGCGCTGCCAGAGACGTGCCGCAATGCCTCCCGGCAGAGTTCCGAATGCTCACTGGAGGTCAAGTTTCTCCAACGCCCAGAACCCTGCGAACTATTCTGCTCAAGAGGTGAAGCTTTCTGAAGCACTGCGTGACTGTGCCAACAGTGTGTTGTTGAGTGAGATAATGGCCCGCGCGAGAGAGGTTGTTTGTTTGCGCATGTCGAGCGTGACTCTGGAATTCGCGCTGGACAGGGGCTGGTTTCCATCTATGATACCCCATGTCCTTCCCAACTTGGTGTGGAGGTATATTCTTTCCAGGTATCGCGCAACTTGTCCATGTAATGGAAGGTGGCAACTGTGCATTTGTAATGTGGAACCCTGAAGCACTGACATTTTCCATGACAATAATGATGCCTGCCAACCAGTATGCATCAGCATCAACCGTCCAATTCCGGTTTATTGTCCTAGTAGCATCCATAGCACCTACTCCATCGAAATGATCAGCCCCAGCTCCATGTTCCGGATAACCTTGGGCCCAAACGCCTCTTCGGAGTTCCATGGACTACAACGGAACTGTTTGAGGTGGGCGGCCTTCGTTCAGAACTGCCCTCCGCGCTGGGCAAGGCGTGGGCTCTGGGCAGGGGGGCGGGAGGGCTCTGGCAGATCTGTGTTGGTTTTGTTTGGGGGGCTCTTTGGTGATTGCTACAGGGTTTGGGGCGGTTGTCGCTGCTTTGCTCATACTCATGCCTATGTACTACACAAATCATTTACTCACCTGTTGAATGTCGCAGTTGTTTACCCAGTCATTCGCTATGAGTTTGTTTATTTTGTGAGTATTTTACTGTTTGTCCGTCCTTTTGCCCGTCTGTCCATTCGTCCATGCATCTGTCTGTCCATGTGTCCATCCGTCCGTGCGTCCCTCCATCCCTTCCTCCATCCCTTCCTCCAGACGGCCAGCCAGCAAGCCAGCCAGCAGCCAGCGCCAACCAGCCAGCCAGCCAGCCAGCCAGCCAGCCAGCCAGCCAGCCAGCCAGCCAGCCAGCCAGCCAGCCAGCCAGCCAGCCAGCCAGCCAGCCAGCCAGCCAGCCAGCCAGCCAGCCAGCCAGCCAGCCAGCCAGCCAGCCAGCCAGCCAGCCAGCCAGCCAGCCAGCCAGCCAGCCAGCCAGCCAGCCAGCCAGCCAGCCAGCCAGCCAGCCAGCCAGCCAGCCAAAGCCAGCCAGCCAGCCAGCCAGCCAGCCAGCCAGCCAGCCAGCCAGCCAGCCAGCCAGCCAGCCAGCCAGCCAGCCAGCCAGCCAGCCAGCCAGCCAGCCAGCCAGCCAGCCAGCCAGCCAGCCAGCCAGCCAGCCAGCCAGCCAGCCAGCCAGCCAGCCAGCCAGCCAGCCAGCCAGCCAGCCAGCCAGCCAGCCAGCCAGCCAGCCAGCCAGCCAGCCAGCCAGCCAGCAGCCAGCCAGCCAGCCAGCCAGCCAGCCAGCCAGCCAGCCAGCCAGCCAGCCAGCCAGCCAGCCAGCCAGCCAGCCAGCCAGCCAGCCAGCCAGCCAGCCAGCCAGCCAGCCAGCCAGCCAGCCAGCCAGCCAGCCAGCCAGCCAGCCAAAGCCAGCCAGCCAAAGCCAGCCAGCCAAAGCCAGCCAGCCAGCCAGCCAGCCAGCCAAAGCCAGCCAGCCAAAGCCAGCCAGCCAAAGCCAGCCAGCCAGCCAGCCACCCACCCACCCAGCCACCCAGCCAGCCAGCCAGCCAGCCAGAGCCAGCCAGCCAGAGCCAGCCAGAGCCAGAGCCAGAGCCAGAGCCAGAGCCAGAGCCAGAGCCAGAGCCAGAGCCAGAGCCAGAGCCAGAGCCAGAGCCAGCCAGCCAGAGCCAGCCAGCCAGCCAGCTAGCCATCAACTCAGATAGCTTCGCAGTTTTTGTTTTGTCCGTTCCCACGTACCCAGTGTTGGATTTGCCAGCTGTGTTAAACTTGTTATTCAATCCCTTGTTCAGCATTCGTGACCTGCACACTTCCAACATGCATCACATAGTATACTTGTTGCAAACTCCAGTATTTAGCTGTGTCATAGTGTATAGTAGTTGCGCAGGATCTCCTGCGCTTTCTGCTGACATGTTTAGCACAATGCCATTTTGTTTCAACCAAGATCTCGGCAGAGACGAGTTTTGCTTGAACGATTTGGTGTATGAACCAAGTTTGCATGTTTATTCTTTGGACTGAGCTGTGGGTGTGGTAACACAGAGGCCAGTTTAGACAACAAACTGTTGCAGCCGTGATCTTGCAGCACGCATGAGAGACTGCCCAGACTGGCACCAACACACATGCGAAACTCACTCAAAGCACCAATGTGCCCAGGTGCTTCAGCGGGGCGGCTCAGTACGCGCCTGCCATGAACTGGATGGGGAGTTCTGAACAGGAGCAAACCTCTTAGTCTTGATACTCGAAAGAATGCCACAATGCCTTTGTTGTGGGCTCATGATCAGCTGCTTTTGTGCTGCAGTGGCCTTGTCCAATTCTTTGGATCTCCGTTTGACGCCGTGAAAAGCCGAATCCCTCGGTTTCTGCTGTCAAAGTAGCCCGGTGCCCTCGAGATCGCGTCGGCAATGCGCATAGGGAGACAATGGTGGAGCAGTTCAAAGACTACACCAAGAGGCTGGGTCTTGCGTTGGCAACATTGTGCTCAATGATCCCCTAGGCAAAGTTGGCGATTGATCCTGGCCTTGAAATATAGAATGGTGTGAGTAAGAATAGCACGTGTTCATGACTTGCCCTGCTCCAGGTTATGCTTCTTGAACGAGAAGGGTTGGACCCTCAGAGACGAGAAGCATGTAATCTGGAAGGATGCAGCTTGCCAGTTGCCCAGATACTACATCAGCCAGACGGAAACCCAAAATCAGTATGTCAGCTGGCTTCGGGCATCTCAAAAAGTTGAAGGAATGCACTGCCTCTAGGCAATCCTATACTGAGGACTGTGGACGGTTGGGAAATCCATTTCGCACCACAAAATGAAACCATGGTTGAAACCATAACGTTTGTTTGGGGAATAGTTGTTCATAGCTCTTCCCGCAAAAAGCAACGAACCAGCCGCTCACGTGCTCTGCAGATGGTCTGCCGCTGCCTGACTCTGCGGCCCTGCCCGCGTCCCCGAAGAAGCTGCCGGGCACCAAGCGATGCGTCCTGAGGTGTGCTGTTTGAAGCGTGTGCGTTTTCTCGCACAACAGTTACATGGATGCGGGCCTTTCCCCTTGCGGACAAGCTCTTTCGACGACCCGGCGGCTGTGCCAAACTCGGATTCAGGTACCTGGAGGGTCCCACCGCAGCAGCCAGAAACCTAGAAACTGCTTAGAGACTTCAGAGTGCTTGCTCACAGCTTGCTCACAACTTCAGAGTGCCGTTGTTTCATGTTTTTTTTCGATGATTCACCAGAGACATTTGCTGGCAATTCGGCGTCTGCAGCCAATATACCTTCTCTGATACCTTTCGTACTATGCACGCGGCAGGTTCGAGCCATGGAGCAGGCGCTGAGGCTCCTTGCGGGATGCTGTTCGATGATGCCGGCATGTAAAACAAGGGCAGGTTCCGCACTTGACCCCAACGCCAAGAAGCCGCAACCACCAAGCATTTCGCGCAGTTTTCAACAATCAAGTGGGGGCAAGCATCAAGGGTTGCGGCCTGTACGGGTGCCTGGATCCCAATTCAACATGGGTGTGAAGCAATCGCAGAATGCCTGGTAACTTGAGGCACTTGTTGATCCACTCATGGCCCAAGCGCTGCGCTCCAGAAGAAAAGCTCCATTTTGTTTTCCGCACAAGCTGTTGGCGACGAGCTTGTGAAGATTTGGCACAGTGAACTGCTAGCGTTTTGGCCTTGCTCTGGTCCAAGGCAAAAGGTTTTGAGTGAAGAGGGAACCACCTCCAGCTGCTTAAACTAGTTTGCAGCAGTGTCGCGTGATACATACGCAATCGAAAGGGACTGCGCTGCTTCAACTGCCGCTGGAATTTCCGGCCTGCCTGAGATTCCAGCATGAACCCTGGACTAGCATTCCCTGCATATTTGAAGGGCGACGTCCATGTACCCCAGAGTGGCAATACGCCCGTGCCTTCCGAACCTTTCGGCCAGGCGGAAGCTCCAGGTGAAGAGCACGAGAAGTGGGGGTTGGGCGGCCCAGCTTGGGCAATTCCCGCTGGATGAAGCTGAGGGATTGCGCGATCATAACACGCTGTTGTTTGCATTCAATGTTTTTGTCCGGGAAAGAGAGAGAGAGAGAGAGAGAGAGAGAGACAGGATACAGGATACACTTGCACCTCGGGCCTCCTCGTTCGCTTTGCAGGATTCCTGAGCGCAACCGGCAAACCCCACATTAGCAGTGGCTCAGGTGCCAGAAGCAGTTGGTCCTCTCCCAACGATTGGTCTTACCTGGGCTGCAAAACGTGACTCTTTAACTGTGAATCATTTGGAACTACTTAGAGTATTTGGGGACGGTCTCAGGAGGTACAATTGAGACTCAAAGGACGAACAATGACCTTTCATGCGCTCGGCTTTGGAGTCTCTCCGAAGAATGTAGCCTAGGCAAGAGGCAATGCTTGGTTTGTCCCAACAAGACATCAGCTTGCTGGCTTGGTTCGCTAGCTGCTGGCCGCTGGACCAAACAAGCGTCAGTCATTGTCCTGGCAGTTTGGTGCCTCTCAGCGTCGCCCGAAGGCTCTGCGATCTCCAGCGCAAGCCTTAGATCGCCTGCCTGGTTCCCTTGTTGGCCATCAGCGGTTGGCATAGCCCTGGAGTTGAATGTGTTTGAGGGGTTGGACACTTGTGAGCTGGGTCGCCAACCATTTCTCTTATTTTGGTCCAGGCCACTTCTTGTCAACGCTTGCCTGGCTGATGTTCCCGAAGTCGGCAACCGCGTTTTGCTCTCCACGTTGTCATGTTGCCCGAGTGTGCCAGTCAATTTCTTGAGAGTGTCTGTGACACCTTGGGCTTTTGGTTGCATGATGATAATCATTGCTCAGATCGGTATACTTCGGAGAAGTATGACAGAGCATTGAGTGCGTTTCGTTTGTTCGATGATCCAAGGGCTTTACAGGAGCGGTGAAGCCAGTCCCATCTCAAGAAAACTGCAGACGCAACGTCGTATGATCCCATGTGACGCTTCGGGCATAGAGGATATTCCGCAGATGGAGCGTTGTAGCAACATGCTCGTGTGACAACTAAATTTGAATCCAACATCATTTCAAATGGCAGAATTTAGTGGTGGGCAGTTCTAGGCCGTGTGGGGACGCTCCGTGTAGGGCCTTGGCACATTTTTTCACTTTGAGCCTCTTGGGAAGTTGCTGTTAGATGTTTCCAACGCTTAGTATATATTTATTGCCTTGCCTTCCTGCATTTGACAATGCAGGCGCTCGCACGCCCCGCTCCGAGATGCCCGGCAGCCTGATTTTCTATGGCTCAGCTGTCTGCATCAAAGAACGCTTCTGCAGTCTCGACTAAATCCGGGTGAGGTGGTTCTTTTTGGTCCTTTCTGCATGCAGTTGCATGCATTCCAGCCTTGCCGCATGAGATGATCATTGAGAGTATGTCTAGAAGTGGCGACTGCCCGCAGCAAAACACGCTGCGAGGGGGCAGTTTTCTGGATATCATTGGAACAGATAGGCTGTTTGTATGACTTGGCATCACTTTTTTGCGCGCTAGAGTTCCATCCCGCAGAAGAAAGGCCTTATGCTTTCAAGCTTTGCGGGATTGCCCTCCCTTGTAGGAGACCCATGTATTGGCCATTCATTCGTGCTCAATCCTGTGGGGATCTGGGCTTGCTCGCACAGGGCGCGCGCCTTTGGGACGCCTGCCAGGCCGCGTGCATCGCTTCGACACCCGGCGCGGACGGGGGCATGGATGGGTTGGATGGGAGGCTTTGCCCGGTTCGGAATGTTTGCATGCGTAGCTTAACTTTTTTGCTGTTGTAATTCTTCAGCAGGTGCCATTTGGCAGGGCGTTGCAAAACATCCAACATCCAATGCGATAGACTGAACCAGCGGTGAGGTGCTTTGCCGGTTTTGACACATAGACAATGGCCTGGCAATGAGATCGGTGCCGGCCTTCTTCGTGCTCTTCCAAGTCTGCAGTCTTTCCGAAGCGCAGCCTAGTGGTTTGAGGTCAAAGAGCTCCTGGTGGTATCCAGTTGAAGACTTGCTGCTCGGTTCTTTCTGGGGGTAGCCGGGCAGCATATTAGGTTCAAGCTTGGACGCAGCCCGGAGCTTTGGGAAGTGGTTTTCCACACTCTTGCCGACCTTTGAGGGGTCATGCGTGGTTTGCAGCAGCTGGGCCCAAAGTCAGGCGCGGCTACAGGGACGCAAACGCGCACGGAAGCCGCACAAAACACATGGAATCTTATGCAGCCTAGCCGCTGAAGCCGAGCTATGAGGCCTCCATTTTTACTTAAGCCTGACTGCCTGACTCATCAGATTCGCAAGTTGGAGTCTAAGACTTTTTATTTGCATGTTTCCAGCCTGACCCGAACCGGAGTCCAGAAAGCAAGCAGCCGACAGAGAGGCCTCACCGGCAAGCCAGCCTTGGCATAGCCCTACTGCTCGTCCGTTTGGGGCCTTCCATCTTCCCATGGGTGCCGCGCTTGGCCGCAGCAAGCAGCGCAGGGATTTGGAGGCAAGGGGGAGAAACCGGATTCCGGATGGAGAGAAAGCGCTTTAGCCGCCTGACACCTTCAATTGGATGGAGTGCCTTTGTTTGGCTAAGAAACTGAGAAACGCGTGTTTTCGTCCACGTCCGTAGATGTGTTCGCGTTTCCCATGTTAGCTGTTGCGTCGGCGTTTCATTATGCGTTCATGCTTGAAACAAGTGGGTATGTGTCCGCGCTGTGTTCTGTTCTGCACTTGGAAACAGCGCGTCCCATGAGGCGGTCCTCTCTAGCAGTATGGGAATAGAATACACTAGAATTGGATAGATATTACGTGTGTAGCTATGCAGCCTATGCACATACATACATAGACATGTTGACATGTACCTCTTTCCGCCCTTTCCTCTCCCTCCCCGCCAAAACAGTTGACTCGTTAGGCGCAGCTGGGCTTCACCGAGCAGAGGAACCGGGAAGCCTGGCTCCAGGAGCAGCGCCTCGGAGAGAGACATGGCTGACCTGGAAGTTTGGTCTCGGCTCCTTCGGCTTCCTTCGGCTTCCTTCGGCTTTCGGTTTTCGTCTTCTTCTTTTTCTTCTTTTTTGTCTTGAAAGCAGCATGGCAAAGAACATTGGGGACCCTCAGATGGGGTATCTTCCTTTTGGTTGGGGAAACCGGGGTGAAACGGGAACCAAATTGGAAAGGGTAGCAGCCGTTCTTAGGAGGGGAAACAGCCTTTTGTTGAACGAATAGAAGCTGAATCTGCGTTGGCATCAGGTTGGACCGGAGTGCCTTCTTGAATGCAATGTTGCAGGTGGCCAGATGACACAGAGCAGCCTTGTGTTAAGACATGCATGCAGTGTGGGTATGCAGTGACATTTCTTTACATTTGCATGACAGATAAATCAATCTTTCCATGCGTCATTTTTGAAGCCACTGCAGCTGAGAATTGCGCTGGAAATTGGCATGAGCAAGTTGAAGGCCGCAGTGCAATGGGGCATTTCCGGGCTAGTTCCCGACACAGGCCGAGACAGGAGTTTTTAACCCGACACCACCTTCTCGAAAGCAATCAATAGCATGTGCAGTCAATGGGGGAAGGGCTGCACTCTACTTTGTTTGGCTGCATGCACTGCATCGAGGGCCATGTGAGATGTTCTGTGGCACACAAACACTCACGATGCGTTGGCATCGCCTAGATTATTGACAGCGCTTCTAGATGCTTGACCAGCAGATATTCACACTATGGATGCCATTTACCGCGCAAGAGTACGAAGCAGATCCAAAGCTCTCTGACTACTGGACTGCGTGTTTTGCAGAGTTCTGCAGCTGCAAGTTGGCATTGCATCAGCCAACTCTCCAACTGGAGGCCTTCGCAAGCGATATGGATCCCGTGATTTGCCTGAGCATTGCATGTATGCGCGGGTGTGCCATTGCATTTGAGGACTGGAACGTTTTGGGTAATGGGCAATGAAGGTGCAGAAAGCTGACTGGTGATGCTGCACAATTTCCACCTCGATCGTATCCCTGCAGACTAAGGCGCTTGCTGGCGGATCTTGATGCCCGAACCAGGCGTGGGAGGGTGTGCAGTTTTTCTTCTGTGCAGTTTTTCTTTGGCTCCTTCACGGGGCAAGATCGCAGAGGGCAAGAGCTCAACGCTCGGTTCCGAAGTCAGCAATTTTTGTGATGTAGCTCGTGACTCCGACGAGACCAAGTGCCTCCCAGGGAGAGCCTTGGCACCTGTGCCGTGAGGTGCCCGCACCTGCTGGTGCAGATCAGAAGCCTGGGCATTGTGGAGATTTGTGGCAAGAACCATGGAGGCGGGCGTGGCACGCGTCAGAGTGGGGGTGGTTTGCCCTAGACTCACTCGTGAATCTTGGAGCATGGCAGGTATCTTTGGCCTCTGCTGCTGTTCATATCGTTCATACCGTTTGCCACTATCTTCTGTTGCCCTCGTCCATTCCAAAGTCCTACTTGATACCCACCCATAAGCCGTATACAAGGATGCCGTTTGGGGTATGCACCTTGGATAGCCTTTGCACAGCCAAGGTAGAGCTCATTTTTTTTACTACCAAATTGGGGATATGTCCATTGAAGCCTTAAAAGTCAGATTTGAGGCTGAATATTCGTAGATGGGATGCCTTGCCGTCTCCCCCTCATGGCTGGCAAGAACGCGCCAGTTTCCACGTCGCATGGAGGCATCTTCGAGCGGCTGGGCGATTGGTTGAGGAACAGCTGGGGCCTGGTGGAGCACTCCAGCGATATCCGGCCCGACGTCTACGTGCCGCCCGGCACCCCAGTTGCCATTGGCGTGCCTCTTAGCGCCTGACAGATAGGAGGAACATTTTGAGTTCAGGGTCAGGGAGTTCCTGAAAAGCTTTGGACCATGGGCTTTGGTTGAGGGTCACTGGAAAATTGAAGATTCGCCGTGGTTGGCTCCTGCTGCTATCAGAGTGACACTGCGCTTCTTGAGCCACCAGTCACACAACGCGAAGACCTCATCCTCCATGTTCTTGGCAAGTCATTTCCTTACTCGGCTTGCTTTCCCCGGTGGCAAAGGCCGGTCTTTGGGCCTTCTCGGCTTCGACAGGTGCAACCCCTTCGAGGCGGCAAAGTTGCGGCTGAGTGTGCGCCCGGTCTACGAGTGGGGTCGTCTTTGTGACAGGACGTCGGACGCTCGGACGCTCGGACGCTCGGACGGTCGGACGGTCGGACAGCGCCTCCTTTTGGGCGACGGATACCCATTTTACCATCGATTTACATTCGTCGATATGATATCGATATGGGTTTGTCGCGTATTCCTGTTCTGCATGTCCGATCGAAATGTGTAGTGAGTGGGTGACAAGTGGCAACTCTATCACGAATGTGTTTTTAGACAAGACTGTCTGGCAAGCTCAGCCCATAGCCTCAGAACTGCGGCTGTTTGGAGATCAGGGGTTAGGATGGGCGGGTTGCCAGCTCTGACAGGCTGATCAAATTCCCCCGCAGCCGCAACCACCAAGTTGCCGCCGCCACTCATGTTCCTGCTCAGTTTTGCCTGCATTTGACCATCATGCGGTCATGATTCTATAGAGTCAACAACTTTTGGCCCCTGACTTTTGGCGCCTGGAGGAGCTTCGCAGTGGGACCCACCACCCCCCAGGGCCAGGTGCTGGGCGCGCAGCGGCTGATGAAGACCCGCGGCAGCGACGGGGAGTCCAACCTCGGTGCCTCAAGCCGACCGGGCTCTCTTGGGTGGAACCAGAGGCGTCCAGGACCGCTGAAGAATGTGCTTGCAAGGTTTGTGAGTGGCCTTTTGCTGTGGTGGATGCTGCTGGGACTGCCAGTCACTGATAGAAGCAGAGCTTGTGAGTTGTTCTGAGATCATGCTGTTATTGCTTTGAACACACTGCGTGCAGCTGAATTCAATTTCCCGAACGTTCCTCGGCATTTCTTTCTTGTTGCCACAACACCAGCTCGACTATGTGGACGAAGTTGTCCACTCGTTGACAGGGTTTTGAATGTGAATTTCGATCTTTGTACAGATCGTGAGAAGCACAAGCAAACCGATTATTCTTTTCCACGATTCCTGTTGCGAGTGATCCCAATTCCACTTGAACGATGAACGGGCTATATGTCCGCACATGCCATGTGCCTCTGAGCGTACCAGCTTCAGGTTCAAAGCGTTCCCAGCTGACAGCTCGGACTAGATTCAGGAATTCCAGGCATTGCTCAGCACAGCCTCAGGACTTAACAGAGGCCTAAGGCCCTTTCCCCCTGTCCATCTGAGGCAAGCTCACCATGTCCCTGGTGAACTTCATGACCAACACCTGCGGCTGGGGCCTGAAGCTCATCGACGGCTGCAACCTCGGCAGCGCCTGGGCTGTGTGTCATGTCGATGGTCGGCCGAGGCTTGAGTGGCTGACGTGAAGATGAGCCGGGCTAAAAAGAAGAGAACGCGTCAAATGTTGTGGCGCCTGGCCCAGATTGAGAAGGCCATGCCAGGCTGCGAGTTAAGACTGAGGGAGCCGCATCCTCGAGATAGGCAGAAGGAGCATAAAGAGAAACTCAAGTTGCGCTGGCCTGTAAGCCTCAGTGACTCTCTGATAGCCATACCTTCACGATCTACGTCGTACTTCAGAGGCTTCGGGGGGAGGTTTGGGGGAGATGTCCAGGGGGATTGAGCTTCACGGTCAAATGCTTGGCTCGGGACTCTACAGACTTGTCATTTTCCAGCAATTGTCCCAGACTGCTGATAAGGAACTGAATACCACCTTTGTATTGGATCTTGGAGTACCTCGAGCCATCCCATGTTGTGATCATCTTACCCTCCCACCAGTTGACATGGAACCTGACAACATGGAGTCTGACAGGGGAAAGGACAATGGAATTCCAACACCTCCTGTCAGGTTCCATGTTGATTCGTGGGAGGGCAACTTAATTTTCTTCATCCAACCTATGTTTTGAGGGAACGAACCCGTGTGAGTGAAGTTGTCTGAGGGAGCGGCCAGATCCGTGAGATGCAGATCAAGTTCACCGCGCCCCATCCGCTGAATCTCACGGCCCCGCACCTCATGATCGACTTGAGGCAGTTGGGCTTCGTGGAGCCTCGCAGTAGAGTTAAGTGGCACTGCGAACTCGGGCAGGGCGGGTCCCGACCCTTGGTTCCGGTTCAAGGAAAGACATGGCCCATTTCACAGTTTGTGGTCCTAGTGATTTTGATGTCGGGTTGATTCGTTCTTGATTTTCTCTGCGATTTACAATCGAGTCATGGATGATTGGGGACGTGATGGATAGAACCAGAAAAATATCGTCGGATGTCGAGGCTGTTTGTTCTGGGTCTCCAGACTGCATTGCCAGCATTCCGCACCAAGGAAGTCTATGGGCCGAACACCCAGAACGTCTACGGTCAACTGGATCAGTGGCTTGCAGGGGGCTGAGTCGGAAGTTGCAGAATCATCTCAAAGCTGCCTTGTTTCACTCACAAGGAGTCCCTATGAAAATGTTTTGACCGGTGTTGGTGACTTGGCCCTCGCCCTGGTTTGGCTCCTCCATTGGATGCGACAGGCCTTTGGATCACTCGCCTTTGTCTGGCCCTTGCAAGGCCAACAACTGGAAGGGTCGTGCCGTGCCTGCAGATCCTGCGTTCTGCGACCGTGCCTGGGCTTGATGTAAGTCGAGATGCGCGGAATGCAGCTAACACATTTCATTCTCTCTTTGGGTCTTCCTCGGATTTTTCTGAACCTTTGCCCGACTCCAGGGCATTCCACTTTGCTTCCCGAGACCCCACGCAGCCGGAGGCAAGTACCAGGTCAGCGCCTTCAAGAAACGGGGCTCGGAGGGGGAGAACAACATGGGCCTTTGCGCCATGAAGTTGGTGGATTTCCTCAACAAGGTGCAAGGGGCGAGAGTCAGCCGGCGCTTGTTTCAACGTGAGTCGGCGCGGTCAGGTTTCTCCGCTGCTTGGTACTTGGCCTTTCAGAATTTCATGGTGCTGTCATACCAGCAGGTACTGTGGATGGACAAATTCCTGCACCACCCGAGAAACACCGGAATGATGACTCCCCCTGTAAATACCAACAAACAATGGTTTCCCATGGTCTCAAAGTGGTGCAGGATTTTGTCCATCCACAGTATGTAGCACTTTGCGGATGCCACTAGCTTGACACTGCTCAGGGTGAAACGGAAAGGGAAGGGATGGTGCACCCTTGTTTTTGGTGCGCGAAAGTGATTACTGGCAACGTATCAGACCAATGGCAGAACGCAGCACATTCTGCTGGTCTTTGCCAAGCCGGAGACCGCGCCAGAGCGCAGGAAACCTAATGCTGATATCATGCACTACGAACAGTGCTGTCCGAGAAGGGGAGCCACAGAATTTTAGGGACTATTCGTGAATAAGAGTCAGTAGGACAACTGCCCACCTGTTTGCATCTTTTCCAACTGGCCAGGGCTGTCATTGGAAGATGGTCGCCTGCACCGCGAGCAACTTTGGCCGACTCGGCGACAAGAGGGCGCCCCGGCTAGCAGTATGGGCACGAAGCAAGGCCACAGGGCAATTTGCAAAGTGGCAATGTTCTGGCTGCAAGGCGGGCGGACGGGGCGAGTAATGTGTGCAACTCAGTGAGCCCATGGGGTTGGTTCTGTAGGACATACTAATGTTTGCACAAAAGCTAGACTGGATCAGGATTGTGACTTGATCTTATTTGGGACGTCCAGGAGGCTTCTGCACGGAGCAGATAACACAATGCACGAAGCAGGCAACTTTTCATGCCAGGTGCTTGCGCGCATCTGATTAGTGTGGCAGGATGGGGAACTAACTTTCCTTTTTTGTCCTTCAAACCCGGGAAATTCCGCTTGGACACTGTTATTTCAATCGTTAATGTGAAGACCAACACGATGAGTAGAAACAAGGCTGCATACCACACGGTCTCCATGAGTAGCGGTCGTTTGTTTTGGCCAGATTTTGGTTCGCTGCTCGTGGTTTCTGCATGAGGAGCAGCAGATCGTGCTGCGATATGATGACTTCAAGCATCAGGAGGGTCGCTGGTAGCTTTTTTTTGCACATTTCCCCGTTGTTTTTGTGTGCATTTTTGGTTTGCGATCAAGTTGCACCGCCTAGCTTAGTTTCTGATCAGGCTTGGTCCGATCCCCCAGCGAGTCTTCCTTTGCTCGTCAACGGAAGATATATCCTTATGGGACATCGGAGGGAAGAACATCCTCGCAAAAAAGTTGGAAGGACAAAATCCTGCAGAAGTACAGTAGGTGGTATATTTCATTATTCATGCAGAAGGGGACGCCCTGGGGGCTGCTCATTTTTTCAGATTGCTGGGGGCTGCGTTTTCCCATCAAAAGCCGACCCAAAAAATCTAAAAAACAAAAACAGAACACATGTAGACCCTATGGCTGGGCAGTCCAAGCTTGGGGACATGGTGCCTGTTTTTTTTTTTTGGAAAGCTTGAGGTTTTTTGCACTTTTCCAGAAAAAAGAAAAAGACCTCGAGTTTTCCAAAAAAACAAAAACACAATTGCAGGCCCTGTGGCTGGGCAGTCCAAGCTTAGGGACATAGGGCCTCTAATTTTGATTTCTTTGTTGTTTTTGAACAACTCGAGGTTTTTCACATTTTCCCTTGCATCCTCGTCTGCAACAGAATGCCTTCAGCTCTGTGACTTGAAGCCGGCTCTGCATTCAAGCCAGCCGTAGACATCGAACAGATTCTCTAGCTTCGATTGAGATGGTTTCAGTCGACCCAGAGAAAATGTTTAATACATGTTGTTTAGATGCTTACTGACTTGTATGGACAGTTCTATTGGAAAGGAACTCCCGTGTAACATTGATGTTGAACTATAATAATCACAATTTAAAATCTAGTTTAACATGTTGATTTTGACTGGGGCCTTTCCTTAATAACTTCTAGTGGGTAAAATTTGGTGAATATGTTAAGTAGATTTCAGAAGGAAATAATTCAGAGATCCTAAAACTGTGTTTTTTCTTTTTACTAGCCCCATCACTACCATTGTCAGAAAACACTGTAACACAGTTTTGTAGCGTTTTTCACACTCAATTCACATCTCCACCAACGGTCGCTCTCTAAAATTCAGTTTGATTTTGAATAGGATTTAAACAGGACTCACAAAGCAAGTACTTGATCAGAATCCTACTGGAAATTACATCTTACATTTAGAATTTAGATGTAAATCCTTTCCCAATAGAACATTACCATTAAATTAGAGTTTAAGCATAATTTGATAAGGAATGAATCCAATCACACCTTCTGTTTAATACTATAATTTGGAGTAGAATAATTGCATCCTTATTGATAACCTGCACAGTATGTTCTTTCCAAACATTTTTTCTTCCTTTTTTCTTCTTCTTTAAACAAAGAAATCAGCTTACGTTTGAATAAACACACATTATGGACACATAGTTCAACTCAAGTTTCCATAGGAATAAACATATGTTTGTGCTTGCATGCCATCACACGATCAAAAGACTGTAAGTGTAAATATTTGTGCTCGCTGCAATAACGCAGCCCCCAGGAATCTGAAAAACACAGCCCCCGGGAATCTGAAAAACGCACCCAGGAATCTGAAAAACGCAGCCCCCAGGACGACCCGCCCTCTATTCAATAGGTTGTATCCATCCCAACCGGTGCAAAGTGGATTTGTTTGTTTGGAAGGTGGGAGACACTCCATTTTGGAGGTTCTCAGAACCTTGGTTGCCCACCTTCTCAGCAGGGAATGAGCCATGAAATGACCCGAGATAAACCATCCATCTTGTGGCTTTCTCCAAGGGGACCCAAGCCTGGATTCTTTTCCCATTCCCTGCTCTCGCAAGCTGTGGAGGACTGCGACCACTTGTTGGTGGAGCTCCGGGACGTGGGCTATGTGGAGGTCAGCGGCCTGGAGGAGGCGGGGGAGGCGGCGCGGACGCTGCACCAGCGCCTTGGCTCAGAAAACGTCTGGCGGGTTTTGGGGGTGTGGGGGGAAGGGGGGGTGGGTGGGTTCTTTTGAGTCAACCCTTCTATGGTTCCCATTGGCTTTCTTCAAACAGCTAGTTGCAAAAGGCATGCATGCAACTAGAGGCAGGTCGTTGCAGTGTTTGACGACTGGGCGTATCCCCTCCAAAGATATCCTATGAGTGTGTGCTTTTTGAGGGTGCTGTTTGCTGGGTCGGTTTCAAGGGAAAGCACCCATTGGGGGTATACTCATATGCTTCCGAATCACTGTATGAGTGTGTGTGTGTGGTGTGTGCCCCACGAGGGACACGATTCCCACCCCACCTCACGAACCCCCCGCACACTCACACTTACACTCACCCACACCAACAGACGTAGGCCCATGATTGCTACTTTCAAGCTGCCTGGCAGCTGAAGGCAATCGTACTCCGTCATGAACCATGAACATAAGATACATCCTCATGTTGAATGTTTGCTCAAATAGGGTGCCTTAAAATGCTCCGCAACATTTTGTCCAATTTCTCATGACTTTTGGGTCACACATGCATTTGACCCTGGTGGTATTATGACCTCGTGGCTATGAATTTTGATGGCTGGAACGCCCTCACAAGCATTGGGGGACGCAGAACTCCAACAATGTACATGATGTCTTGCAGATGTGCTGACGGCAGAGCCATGTCTCACTTGGATGGCATATGCTTCATACTGTTGGCTTGGACTGCAACAGAATCATCCAGAGATTCTGCTCTTCGAGCGTTCCTCTGACTCCAGTCATTTTGCTGGTTGTCAGGGAACAACCTGTCACCCCTTTGCCACAATGCCTACACTGTACAACCGGGAGCTTGTGTGTGTGTGTGTGTGTTAAAATATGGGACCATTCCCCAGCAAAGAAAATGTTATTTTCCCTTCGGTGTCCTTCCAAACCATCCAAGAAGGGTACCGAGCCTCTAAAAGGACGCACCCTGGGACCTCAGGTTCATCACCCACGAATGGCGATGCTCCGAGTATCGCAACAACATCTTCGAGGCCTTCAGCAGCAAGTACTGCGACCGGAAGTACCGGCGCCTCTGCTGCAAGAGAAGTGGCCATACATCTCAATAGGGAAAACCCGCAAAAGCGGCTGGTGCATATTGAATCTCCATGTAAATAATGTGCACCATAGGGTCACCAATTAAAATTCATTGCCCAGTGGAGTACTGGGTGTGCCAATGAAGGGATGGAAACCGACTGAGGATTTGCTATGGATTCTTTTGGAGGAAGGCGATGTTTGTTTTGCCTTGCTGGGGCAATTTATTGGAGTTGTTCCCTTTCGACGTCGACGCGAGTCACTTGGGTGAACCCAGGCAGTGGCCACGTGAGCCATATTAACGTGCAAAGCAATGCCGCAGCGCCTTGCAAAGCGTCACTGGGGCCCCAACGACTGCGTGCCTCACTTGGAGTAGTGAGCTGCTTGTGCCATTCCTGCCAGAGAAGGTCCAGCTATGTCATTTGCTTACGCACTGGTCCAGTTTTTCCTTCTGCCTCTTCAAGCAGCCAGATTACTTTCCGCCGGCTGAAAGGGCCCAGTTCTTGACGTCAGTTTTTGGGGCCTGGGCCTCTGGGGTTGTGCGCGAGGACACCGCCGAACTTTTATCTGCGGCAGGGCCTGCAGAACAACCTGGGCCGCCGGCTTCTGGAGCTCGCCAGCTTCATGAGCTGCCGAGGTCCGGGTAGAAGGGTAGAAATATGGGTTGATCAAAAGGTCCGAACATGGGATCACCATTGGTTGGTAAACGAGAAAATATTTTTGATATTTCAACCACATGGGACGCTTAGGCTACCCATGGTCGAAACTGGGGGCCCTAAAGGGATTTTTGATCAACAATCAAATGACATGAACGGTTGACTCCTATTTCTTCCCGTTGCGCGGCTCCCGTGACGAATTTTCGGCTTGTCGCAGTGCTGAAATGGTGACGGATGAGCGCCGTGCTTTGGGAGCGTTTGTTGATTTTAAGCGAGATGTGTCCCATCGGACCAGGCTGGCAGCTTGCTGCCTGCAATGGCGGCAACCTCACCCTGCCAAAACAAAAGAAGCCGCGCGCTCAGAGAAGACCCAGGCCCCATTGACAGGCCTTGGTTCTTGTAAGCTAGCCTTGGCCGATCTCCCTGGCAGACACTTTGGAAACTCGCAGTGCTCTTGAGTCTGCTCTTGCAGATGGCGCTTGTTTTCTGGGATTTGTATCGCTGGACTGCGGCCATCCAGTAGTCCAGGGGCGGGGCCACCGGCCTGGTGCGGGAGAACCAGATCAAGTTTGTGGGCTCGAAGCGGGATGCTGGGGGGCCCGGCTTGCTCGGCGCACGCCTCGTGAGCAGGGGTTTTGGCTTCATTTTGGTTTGTTTCAAAGTAGGGCAGCTTTCCCTGTAAAGACCCCTAACAAGGGTGTCCTCAAACAAGGACACTCTCATTTTTGTTGGAAGGCACAAGGTGGGGGCTCTAATTTTTGTTGGAAGGCACAAGGTGGGGACACAAAGGGCAGCAAACCAGGCAACCTGTACTAATTTGTGGAGAAACAGTATCGCATATGTCTTTATGTTTCTCCCGCAAGATGACCATGGCAAGCCGAGGCTTGTGCAAACTCTGTATGTGGGGATGATGGCCCAATCTCGCTTGTCCAGAATTTCAGATGAGATTGGTCTTCCGCCAGCAAGCAAAACCTTGACAGGCTCCTGCTTGCAGACCGCATGCCACGTCAATGCAGCAAGATCTTTGGAGAATGACCAGTCCTGCCAAGGAGGGAAGCACCATTTCCGACACTCGTGCTCGTTTTGCCCTGGTCTTCGTCTGTGTGATCTTTTCTCTTTGCCTAGCCAAAGAAATGTGGGGGAGAAGCTTTAACCCTAATGCTACTTTAAATCCTCGCTGCAGGAATCTGTATCGCGCATGATGCGTGGATGTGTGTTTTGTCCATGTTGGCAAAGCTGTGAACCTCCATGTGAAACCTTTTCCTTTTGCACGGCAACTGCTTATTGCGGCACACATCTTGTTGCCTCTTTCTCTCCTCCAACGTCCAAATCAGCATACTTGAAGGGTTGGCGTTTCGAATGCTCGGCTGCAGCGCCTGCTTTTGTCGCAGACGCCATCGTGTCCTCCCCGCCCCTCACGTGCCCAGGCGGTCCCGCGGCCTCTGCTCCTGGTGGAGTTTCGCACAGTGCCCTTCATCGACGCCAAGGGCCGGAGCTTCTTCCAGCGCCTTGGCCGACGTGGGGCCACACCGCAAGCAGTCAGAAATCGACTGGGGCCCCAAAGGCCAGACAATGGCCAGGGTCGATCTTTGGGCCAGATATTTCTTGCGCGCATGTCGAGTTTCTTTGTGCTCCTTTGAATGGTGTGGTGAAAGTCTGGCTACCGAGTTTTCCTAAATCTTGCCGATCCACGATATGCGACATGTTGACTGCCATCTTGAGTCCGTGCCATAGCTGCTATAGCTGCGTATGGAGGCAACCTCAGATGACTTTCCGCTGAACATGCTGTTTGAGGGATACTGCTTCGCTTGGGTTAAACTTGTATGACATGTACCCCATACACGCAAATTGCAGTGTTATCTGAATCTGAGCATCCCATTCTTAAGTTTTGACGCCAAGACTGTCTACATGACTGCCAGCCCAGTCAGGAGAGCAATTTGCATTCGTGTATGTGTGCTGCATTCGTGCGAAGCGCTTCGCGTGTTTCCAATAGAATGTGGCCTTATTCAGATTCAGATTCACTTGGGAAGGGCAGGATTGGTACCCCGGATGAGAACATGTCTCAACAATCTTTTGGTGGAGCTTTGCCGACGCTACGTAGCGTGTATTGTACTATTGAGAAGTTCTGGGTTTGCGACCCTGCGATTTGGCCAGGTCCTTGATTGAGATAACGGGGCAGAACACGAATGATGTCTTTGGCAAGCTGTCAGCATTTGTACAGCGCCTTGGCTGAGGAGTGGCACTCATGACATGCTTGTATGCAGGAGCGAAGTGATTCTCTCGCCATGTCAGCAGTTTGTGCCATTGTGTTTGGGTGGCAAGTTTTGTGTGTCAATTTGCGCATGTGTGTGTAAATGTGCACGCACGGGCTCGCGTGTCGTGTGTCGTGTGTGTGTGTGTGTGAGTGTGTGTGTCGAGTCCTTGATCTTCTTCCCTTTGCTTTGATGAAGTGGGACGCCACCTTGTTGGACGTCTCAACCTGCAGTAGATGACACAGTGTCACCTACCGATGGCGTCCCTGATGTCAGTGGGTTGAGTGTGCAACAAGCCGGAGCTTCTTTGCCCTGTCTGAGACCCTCAAACTGTGCTTCTCGATTTGCATTCGAGTCGATTGTGTGTCTGCAAGACGATCCGGGAAGGTCTCTTTGGTCCTTTTCTCCCGCCCGGAACGGCTCTGTACTTGTGTGTGTGCGCGTGTGCGCGCGTGTGCGCGTCTGTAGTTTACTTTTGTTGCTCGTGAAGCGGACTTAGGACTCACATGCAGAGCCGGTTGCTATCGACAGGAACACCATTTTGCGATTTATGCCGCTGCCTTATTTCCAGGAGTTCGATCTGAGTGCGCTGGTCACAGACGACATGCCCAGCTGCATTTGGCCCCTCCCAAATACTTGGACGTGCCATAAATCAGGCAGTCAGTCTGACTCGGGCTGCCCTGCACCTAAGTTTCAACCTTCGGGGAGCGATGTGGCTGGACAAGCAAACTAAGGGCTCCGCCCTCCACAGTGGGTGGATGTCCGTCTGAGGTTTTACCACTGACGCCTTTCAAATGAAGGAGGCGGCGCTGGATTGCAAGGAAGGCGTGCAGAGAGAGCGAACTGGCCTTGCTTGGGGTGGCCGCTTGCTTCTGTTTTGCTGCAAGGAGTTTCAGTTGACTGCGGTACGCGAAAATCTTCTTGGAAGGGCGGATCTAAGTGAATCCAATGGCATGGGCGAGTCCAAGCGTCTCATAACCCAGATAGCAAAGTGAATCAAGGGATCAACAAATGACAAGTGCAGGTGGAGGCCGCTTCTTTCTACTTTTTGTTTTGTTTTGTTTTCTTTCTTTCCCTCCCTCTCTCTCTCTCTCTGTGTCTCTCTCGCTCCCCCCTCTCTTTCTTGTTCAGAGGGCACGTTGAGTCATGAGTCCGTTGAGCGTCAGGCCGATTCCTTGGGGAGAGCAATTTTGGCAAGTACGCCATGCGCCTTTGCGACTTTATGGTGGACTACCTGGGTGAGTCTTGGCATGTTCATGGGATCATACGTGAAGCAAGCAGCTCGGGTTGTCCGAGCAAGAGATGTTCTTCTTCAGCACAACCTCCTTCGCAGTATGAGTTTTCAATCCACTTTCTCATGCAAGTCCATGAGTCATCAGACTGCACATAGTAGCTGGTTTCTGCATCGTTTTCGCGGTGGACAGTTTGGCCACAGATGGTTCGGGAATTCATTTGTGCCTGGCAAGGGACTGACTGAAGAGTAAATATGAGGCTGGCTCAACTTGGCTGACATTCAAGCTTCATTCGCACTCAGTGCACTCCTGCTGTCATCAGACACTTGCACCGAGGAGTGGGACCTTCTGGTTTGCAACAACAATTGCGCCTCGATTTGAAGGTTGGAGATGATATCCTTAGTTTCTTAACGACAAGAGCCGCTGACCGGCGTTTCTTGAATGTGCTGCTCCAATGGCCACATTTTAAGTGAAGAAGGTTTCCATGTGAAAAGCAATTGGGTATGGGTTAGTCGATTCGAAGAGAGAGGGATGTTTCACACGCACAAGCACTACTTTCTCGTCCTTCAACCAGCCATCACAAGGACCCCCATTGAGTCAGCCATGAACATGATCAGCTTGTTTTAAGTACAGCACATGTGGGCGCAGATGAGGGGCAAGGTGTTGATTTGCCTGGTTCTCAGGTCCCAGATTTCCACTTGCGTTCAGGCACATAGGCAACAACCCCTAGGCATTGCAGGTGCAGAAGAATTGTTGCAAATTCAGCAAATCCTGTTTGCAATCACAATTTGCTGCAATAGTCTGAGATTGGGCGCACGCTGTGAAGAATAATTCAAGAGCTGCAGTCTTCGAAACATCACAACATAAGATCAGCTGAAGTCTTGGAACAATGACAGTGGTTCCGATTCGGCCTATGTTTTTCCGAGCCGCAAGCTGTGGACCATGAAGAGTGATGGCCAATTTATTGGCTCATGTTGGCACAATTGTGGCAATTGGGTCCCAGCTGTCCTAGTCGTTTGTGTTGCTTATCCCGTCGGTGCCAAAGGTGTCAGGTAGAAGCCCGCTGCTCGCGAGGCATGACGCTGCCTCTGAAGCAGCCTTCACTGGCGCGGGAGGCAGCATGGGGGCTCAAAGCGGGCTGGATGGAAGCATGTCCGGTCGCTGGCATCGTCATGGACCATTCGACCGACCTGGTCATGGCCAGCGACAGTAGTGCCAGTGGCATATCGGAGACATACGAAGGTGTTGTCAGTCTTTGTGGAGCAGTAGGGGATTCACAATATGGATTGCCCACTGGTTTTACACAGGCAGAGTGAATCCGCACCGCTCGGTCAAGCCCAAGGCAGCTTTTAAGGGATGTGCCCTCATGGGTTCCGTGCAGGCGCAGATGGTCTTCCGCTTCCGCGATGGCGGACGGGACGTGTTCCTCTCCAGTGGCCAGGCCGAGGGTGCAGCCGCCGTGAGTGCCAGCCGCAGCCGAAGACGCGCGGTTTAGGATGGGCTTGTCCATATCCAGTCCATCCTCTCGCGTTTATTGAGCCTTGGCTTTTGTTGGGTCCTTTGCTCTTGCAACCCGACCTCACAGGTGGCGAAGGTTTCTGCCACGGTGCGTCCATGTGGTTGTGGTGCGTCCAGCCACTGTTCGCAGGCGCGGCTCCTGGGGAGGCCGCCGTTTCGGGCGCCCGGGTACTGGGCGGACCCGGCGGCGAGGGCCGGGCTGGTGCCGCAACTGGTGGCGCCCGCCTCGCAGAAGGAGCTGGCGCCATGGCTCAAGCGATGGGCAGTGGGGGGGGGAAGGCTTGTATCAGGGAAAGGAACAGGAAAAGGCACCGCTGGAAGTGCTGTCGGATGAATCCGAAGGTCTGGGTTGCCTTTTGGCAACAGCATGAGCGATTTTGCGGGGGTTTGGAAGGGTTTTCCTGAGTAATCCGAGGTTGTCACGACACGGGATGCAGGTTCTCTCTTCGACAACAAAACATGACTAGTATGTGCTTCGCACGGGGCACGGGTCGCAGCTAGAAGGTGTCGGAGAACAAAAGCAGCAGAAACGACTGTCCGCAGAAGTCATGGGCCACATGAGACACTTTGAATGCGACCTGCCCAGAGCTTGTCTACCTTGGCTAGCCACTGACCTTCTTTTTGCAATGATTATCCATTTGGTCCCAATTATTTTCCTTTTTTGTTCTGATATAGCGTCACCATGTGCTCCAAGGTGCTGGTTGCCCGTCTTATGATCTAAGGCTCTAACGTACCAATTCACAGGACGTAGCAAGATTGGTGGCTTTTTGATAGCCAATCACCCAGCCTACCCCATTGCATTTGTGGCTGGCTCCCTTTCGCCTGGTCACAGACATACCTCGAAAGACATTTGCTGCCCGATTTCAACTGGTTGTTCGAGTCGGGCCTCGAGGGTTCATTTATGTAAAGCCATTTGGGGTGATGTTTCGCTGATCTCGCGGCTAACTAGGTGATGCTCCAAGAAGTGATGGACGGCACCTACAAGGCCCAGAATGCGTCTATGGGATTGCTTGCCTCTGGTACTCGGCCTAACGGTACTGCGCAGCACATACAAGCAGCTACCTGTTTCACGCTTGTGCGAAGTCCCCGCACGGCACATGTGTGAGCTTTTTCTTGCAAGTTTCCACCCCACAACCCCCAAACCTCAGCGCGCTCCTGACATCCGTGGACAAAGACAGCGTCCGGACGGCAGGCCAAGGCCACCCGTGATCGGATGGGGAAGCCCATCCCTAAGCGCTTCACAGTGGTCGCGGCCCTTCGCTCTGAGACCCCGGAGCTTTGGGACCCGAGGGGGGGGGTCGCGGGAGGGGAATCGGAATCGGTATGTCTCAAGGGGACTCTTCCTTAGGCCAATACGAAAGCGCATGAAGTCAACCACGGGGCTGTTTTGTGCCTACAACGTAGCGGGCGTTTGCCTGGGGGCTGGGAAAGGAGGGAGAGCAGCGGGCGCAAAGAATACACCAGCTGTTGCAAAGGCGGCCTTGTTAGCTACCCGTTGGTTCTTGACTCAACAACACAAAACACAGCCTCGCTGAGCAATACTTGACAAGCAATTCGCAAAGAGATGGGAGAAAGGAGAACCTGTAGCAGCATCTGTCTGGCCGGAGCCAGAAAGCATCCGCCATTTTCATATGCTACCAGATTCAGAATTCGGAGCACCATCCCTTCTCAAGTGAGGCATGTGTCAAAATAGGGGCGGGGGGCGCAGAATGTTGGTTTCCTTTTTTGGTTTCCATCAAGAATCACCCCGAAAAATTCCCACCCCCCCCCCCCCCCGAAAGAAACAGACAGACCCACACACACACCCTGCTTGGGCAAGGATCGCCATCCCAAGCCTCACGAGTTTCTGCGGGCGACTCGCGTGCTTCCTCCTTCCCTTGAGGACCGCTACGCGCGGCGCAGAGAGCTCGTGGAGCAGCGCTTGCAGGGCGAGGCTGGCGGTGGGTTTTGGGTCGGTGGCTGAAGGATGGGGTTCGTCTCGGGTTTGGTTTTGTGTCTTCGTTGCTCACTTCCTGAGTTCATGAACTTTAAACTTTTTGGGACGACCATTTTAGTGGTAAATAGAAAGTTTCAACTTTGTTTGGGCCATCCACTCAGCCAGTGAGGTTGGAAGTCTGGGTATTCCATTCGAGGCAGGCTGAGGCTCCAGAGAAGAAGCTCGCTGCCAGGCAAACTTGGATGTCGTGGATAGATGAGTGACTCATAATGTACCACGCCGAGAGAGAGAGAGAGAAACAATAGACATAGCAGGCTGGAACTATACCAGACCACGAGAACAAGGCTGTCGTGGACTTTGTATATCCGGGTACTAGTTCTTGATTTTAAAGCAGCTGCTGAGCAGACTTTGCACGACCCAGTTTCTACAACGAAATGACTGGAAGGCAAATGTTTATAACAGGTTGTCCGTGCTTTTTTCTCACCAGCCCCATCACAATTCAAATGGAATAGGGCTCATAGTGCTCTCATTTGTTGTTTTTGAACCGCGTGGTCCCTGACGTACAGGATTCTGTGCTCAGACTCTGGTAGTCTGCACGAGAAAGAAAAGGCTGGAACTATGGCGACCTTCAGCACAAGTGGATCATGTGTTTTGATTCCTTCAGCCACTTTTGGGTATTGTCAATATGTGGGCTGCAAGCAGGTTTTCAACTTCTCAGGCAAAGGTTAGCATGGTGAAATGAACAAATCGAAGGTACCTGCTACATGCTATGGTCAAAAGTTAACCGGTCCCGTCAAACTTTGAGTTGGCAGATGAGATTAATCACACCAACAGTAACTGGGTGCAAAGGATCAATTCGATTCTAGAGCCATATCACTGGTTACAAATGTGTGAAACGGGGACCTGAATTGTTGTGTGCTTTCTTGACATTTCAATCATTCAGCAACAGCTAGGTGAATGCCTATATGTTTGAAGATCCAAACATGATCTTTCATGTTGTCTTGTGCTCTCGCAGACGCTTCCCAGGTTGCGACTGGTGAGATGCAAAGGCGTTAGCCTCTTCATGCAGTGGCAACCGTGGAGTTCCCTGCCTGAAGGGCAACCGCCCCACAAAATGGCGGCGTGTCAAAGTGGGACCCCCGAAAACGGCCGGTTTCCTCGTACCGCGCCCCCAAAACGCGCAGTTCGCTCGGAGGTGCTGGAGGTGACGGCTCTGACCCTGGAAGCCTCTCTGGGTCTCACCTTGCGCTGCATCCACGAGGCGGGTTGACTGGTTGACCTGAAGCAGCTAGCATTGCTCAACTTTGCGGAGTGCCTTGCGAACGCTTATTCTCTGAGCGGGCGTGCTGGCGCTTTTACTCAAATGATAGCGGCATTTCATCGTACGCTCAAGTTTCAGCGCATGCCCGTTTGAGATGCGTAGCATTTGTTCCTGCCGCCACCGGTCACCAACTTCGTTCGGCAACAACTTGTGGACCGCAGTCGCATTTCCTTGCCGCTCACAGCAGGACCGCGGGAATGCCAGCAACGAGGCATATTTGCTGCACGGCCTCGTGTCTGCAAGCAGATAAAAAGCACGGGTCCCATCAGTTTCGGTTCTGTAAGGTATCTGAGGTTCCTACCTTGATGTCTTCGTGTGGTCGCTGGCAATGGAGGATGCGACAATGCCGCAATGCTAGGTTTGTTCCATTTTTAATAGACGTTGCCTGATCCCAGTTCTAGTCAGAGGTTTGAATCGGAAGCATCCCGTGCATTTTGTTGGCGCGAGACCTGCTTAGGGAGCAATCCCACCTCTGCGATGTCCATCCTGGGCACGTCCTTCAAGATGGACTTGGCCGGGAAGAATGCTGGCAGCATGTTCGGGCCTGGTATTTACCTTGCGGAGTCGTGGCTCGGCCCTGCCTCGAAACCAGCCGAACGTATGTTTAGAAGAATGATGTGAAGGATTCATCCAGTTCCAGTCCCATTGCAGTGTTCGCAAGGTCATCTTCCCTTCGCCAGATCGTTAGCTTTCCTACGTTAGCCTTGTGGGCAGGCGCTGGCTGCAGTGTAATTAGGATTTCCAGCAAGAACCAAGTTAGCACCCTAATCTTCGGATGCTGGTTTGGGAACATGGCTGAAAACGGGGTCTTGTCCCTCAGACGTGTGTCGGCGCAACCAACCAGGCTCGCCTAACTGCCCCTCACAGAGAGACCATGACCCGTGGTCGTGCAAGACGACCAAGTCATTCTGTGCTGGAAGGTTCTTGCTGGACACTTCCGAGTGGCTTTCCTTTCGTTCGGCGTGAAATCGCAACGCGGTGCCTAGAAGCTCAGGTCCGTCAAGGCCGACGAGTACGCCCAGGACGACACCAGCGGCTCCTATGCAGGCGAGGCGAGAGCCGTTCGCTCTTGAGGAGCCTGGCGCGTGGTTTCGGCTGACTTTGCTGCGTCTGTTTCACGCGGGAGTCTTGGTTGATTATTCTCTGAGGATATCTCCCTTTGAGTTAACTTGTCGAGGTGCTCATTGCCGGTAGATACCTTCACCCAGGACCCTTCTGAATCTGCAAGCTTGAAAAAGGAGCCACAGGAACCAGATATAATCCCAGGCAATCCTCTTTTCGTGCCAAAGGCTTTGGCCCGTGAATGTTCCTTTCGTGCGGCTCGAACTGGGAGCATCCAGGCCTCTTTGCGGTGCTGCTCTGCCGTGCTGTGGTGGGCCGCGCATTGCAAGTCGTGGACCCTGCGTGCCGGCAAAGACCGAAGGGGAGGGGTCAGCGGGCTGTTGGAGGCCTTTCTTGGGCTTTATTTGAAGGATATCAATCCTGTGTTCACATCCAGGTTGCAGTCATTGCGTGTTAAGGGCCGTGCTTTTCAATAGGGCCTTTTCTTGAAAAGGCACTGTACTGTTCAATCCGATTTCAGGCACATATTGACATGAGCCACACGTGTTGTTTCAGGCTTCAGTGGCCCTGCCTTTTGCCTTTGTACGGCACAGCTGCAGGCCTCAATTTTAGGGATCAGCAAGGAGGAGTGCCACAGGAGAGTGAACCATCATGCCAACGTGCCACCTGCAAGAGAGCTCAGGACCCTATTCCCAGTAGGGTAGCTGCGCGGCTCAATGCCATTTCATTTCTGTGTGGTGAGTCTCAGCCTTGTTTCACTGCTGGCGCTTCCAGTAGTTCCCTCGCCGTATGAGTTGGTTCACAGGTGTTTTGTCCCGACAGAGCCGGTTTTGTGAATGTTGCAAGTGGACACCTCAGGGAGTATTGGACATTTCACAGTACGCCGCTCTTCACTTTTTTTCGCCGCTCTTCACTTTCCGAAAGTCATTGTTGAACTCAAGCTGGTGCCTTTTTTAGGGTGACTACGGACCCTTGGTGACCTCCGGCGACTTTGACTGCGTCGTGGGAGACCGGGAGAAGGCTGTGGGAACGCTGCGCGGCTGACACGACTTCCAACTTCACGAGGCAACGAGTCAAACTTCACAATTACACGGTGTTGCGAAGAGGATGCTGCGTCAAGACGGACCCTGTAAGGTGGCATTTGCAGTGTGCATGTCTTTTGCACTGGTCTTTGCACTGGCAGGCTGGGAGAACGGGCCAATACTTCTTTTCATAGGGTGTCTCCAAAGAGGGGTTTGTTGCCCGAGGGTCAACGATCCTTACAAACGCATGGGCAGTGATTTAGCATGTCAGATGTCATACTCAGTGCCGTTTGGCCTTATTGGCCTGGCGAAACGGATGCAGACTCAGACAGCTTTGAAGATCTGCTGCTTGTTGTAATCTCTTGATAGGCCTTAGCTGGGGCCAACTCGCACCTCAGGTTCCGGGAGTTTGTGTTCTTCCATGAGGAGGCAATCTACCCGGAGTTCGCGGTCTTCTACCGCCGGGAGATGTAGATGGCACCCGGGCGTGCGGTTTTTGTTCCCCGTGCTGGGTTCAGAAGTATGTTTTTGCGGGTAGACGTGGTGACTCTGACAACTTGCTTTTGTGTGCAAGAAGGACTTCTGAGGCAAGGCAGAGCAGAATTGTAGCACACCAGTGGCCGACAGAGCTAGGTTTAGAGACAGCTTGCTTGTGACTGGAGGTAACACTTGGCCGATTGCTTCCGCGTTCTGTGCAGCCAGCCATGCAAAGTTTCGACATATGCAAAGCACGTGCAGGGTGGGAGGGTCCCCTTGTAGCAAATGCTATGCATCCATCCTACTACCATGTAGGAAGGGCACAGCCGCTATTCATCACAGAATTCACATGAGTTGACCACTTGGATAGCTTTGCTTGACATGCTGGCTAAGGGTGCTCAAGCCGTCGCCGGCACTTGAGCGGAGTGAAATGCGCGGGCAGAAGACCTTGCGCACAACTTTCGAAGCGTCACGAATCGGCTGCACTGGCCAACAGCACACTTGGAAGTCGAAGGAAGTCAAACGCATTGACCATAAAGATTGTCAGTTTCTCGTGATGCGTTAGATGAGATGTGATCTGGAAGTTTACAAACAGTGGCTTGGATGCGCATTTATGGTTGACTTACTAAGCCGACAGTGTCTTTTCAGTGGATGAGCGCAAAAGGGGAGCCCAGGCAAGAATTCGGAAGCGTCTAAGCAGACCGCAGGAGAGTGTCCTGGCTCCGGCCAGCGAGGGTTGCAGGCCGAACTGGCAATTCATCAGCTGGCGCCGGCCAGAAGGGGGCTGCCCAAACTTTTGTTTACTCTAGCCTGCCCAAGGTCTGGTCGACCAGCGCAAAACTGAAGGGACAGGAAGAAGTTGAAGCCGCGTCTGGCGGTCAACGAGCGCTCGTTGTAGGGTGCTGTTCAAGTATGTGGAGGTCTAGGGCTCTCGTGTCTGCTCTTAGCCAAGCCAGACATCGGCAGGGTTGGTCAGTTCCTGTTGTTGTCGCTCTCCCGCAACAGTCCGTTTGCTGGCTTGCTGGCACACCGAGGAGGTGGCCAAGGGAGGCTGCGGCTGAATTCGGCAAAGTGTCTTGCGTGCTCGGCTGAAGTCAGTTGCAAGTGAATGCCGGCCTCTTGTCTGACCGGAATTTGGCACGTTTTTGCCAGGAGCCTTTGCCCCACTACCAAAGCGAGTCTCTGGCCAGAGTTTGTCTGAAATATGGATAGCAGTGGGCTGAGCAGTGAAAGCGTTTGAATTCGAGCGTCGGCCTTGTGGCGATCTTTCACTTCGCGTGCTGCTAAGCCCGCCAGAGCTGGCGAGCAATTGGGGCCTGAAGCGGATCCTGTGCAAGCTGTGCTCCTTAGTCGCGTAGTGGTGATGTAACTGCAGCCCAGCTAGGTTGGTTTCAAAGAGAATGTAGTGTTTCTGCAGGCGTGCCAAGGTTTTACAGGGACTCCCTCGAGAGAAAGGAGCCTGCAGTCCAGGCTAGCAGCTGCCTTGTGACGGGTCCAGCTGGCGGGCGGGAAAGTTGGGAGCCCGTTTGCGAGGCTTCGGCCGGGCCCTTGTTTTCTTTCGCTGGCAAAGGGAGACATTCCAGCATGGCCAAGCAACGAGAAAGGGATCTGAGTTTTATGCTGGTTGGTTCGGCAAGTGGATGAGAGGGACAGAGCGAGAACTCAGAAGCGTTTGAGCAGGCAGTGGAACATGGCCCTGGCTCTGGCCAGCGAGGGGTTGGGTGTTGGGGTTCTGACCCCAGGTGTCAGTTTAAGAAGTTTCTTTCTTGCACACACGCACATCTGTTTAGGGGTTGCAACCCTTTTGGGGTTTGACGCCTGCGGGCCCAGCGCACGCAAATGCGTGTAGTTGTGCCAGACATGGCCAAATTTCAGCCAGCCAGCGGATTTTGTTATTGGGCTTTTGGGGGCTCTGCCCAGCAAGGAGTTGCCTGGGGAGTGTCCGGAGTCTTTCTCCCACCCTGGGAAAGAAGTGTGATGTCGCAAAGTAAGTGTCGCTGCGGCCTCTTGGCGCGCTGCGTGTTGTGTCTGGTACAGCGGCTGGAGCTTGGACGAGAGCAAGTTTGAGTTTGTTTGCGGCGGCCTTGCAGTGGCTTTTAACCCACGTGCTGCTAAGCCAAGCCAGAGTTGGGCATAGCGGGGGCCTGGTTTTCGCAAGACCCCCTTGTTCACGAGTCTTTGAGCCAGTGCGACAACGAATTTTCTCGCGCGTGGCCAAGGGCGAGCAGCGAGCCGTATTTGTCAACTGGGTAGCAGGGCCTGACTGAAGAGGCGTGGTTGGCCCCAGCAAGCTTGTTTGCGCGCGAAGGGAACTGGTTGCTGCCTTTGTTGGCAGGTTCCAGGCGAATCCCGCTCTCTTTCCTTGTTGCGTTTGTTGGCCTAGCGGCCAGGAGGGCGCCGTGTCTGCAAGCGTTTTCGGTAGGCAAGCCGAGGTTTTGTCTCACAAATTTGCCGTGACTTGTTCCTAGAAAGAACGGTTTTATCAGAAGAGAGCCTTTGACAAAAAGGCAGGGGTTGAGAATTGTCTTCCACACAAGCAAAGGGCTATATGCTGCCTGCTTTGCGACGAACCGATCATCCGAGTGCTCAGCCAGTGCGCCGGATCTGGTGGAGCTGCCGCGCCGTGGCTTCAGCAGATGGCCAGCAGGATGAGCGTAGGCTGGGCAAGAACTCAGAAGCGGTGGATAGTTGGCCCCGGCCATCAGAAGCTTTGCGGGCAGATTCTCGAGTGTTTCTTCTGCAGCCCTGGCTCCGGCCAGCGGCCTCAGAGGGTTGCGGTTTGGAGCTCTTCAAGGACAACTTTCAGGGTGTTAACTTCAGCGCCTGTGCGCCGGAAGCAGAGCGGAGCCGAGCTGTAGTGTTTGCGGCCGAGATTTCACAGGCCCTTGCTGTCGGACGTTGCGCGGCCATGCTGTTAGGCAAGCCCTCGCGCAGCTTGGCGCAGTTTACAGAGCTGGCTGTGGGCCCCTCCGCTGAATTTTGTGTGTTCAAGGAGGTTTCGTTCGTTCAAGGTTGGGTTCGTTTCCTTGCCCGTGGATTTTTTTGTACAGCAGAGTTTCTTTGCTTCTTTTTTCCATTGCTGTCAGGGCCCGCCGAGTTTCGCCAGCGGGGCCGCCAAGTGTACAGGAAAGCTCGCCCGAGTTTGTGCCAAATGGCGCCGGAGGTCCTAGGCCTTCTTCGTCCAAGGGGCGAACCACCAAAACAACTTTGCGCTCAAGCTGGCTACGGATGCTTGCAAGTGTCAACGCCGAAACCCAGCTTGCGCAAAGGGACGTTGAATGCGGAACCGTTTCTGAAAGGATCGTGGTTCTTGCATGATTGGAAAAAATGGATCGGCACTCCCTTAGCATGCTTCGCGTTGCCAGCACTGCACGCTCTCCCAGATCCAACTTAGCACGTGGTTCCGAGGTTTTCGTCCATGCCTTCTGCTCTGAGTTGGTTGGCATTCCTTCTCCTTGATCCGCTTTTGGCCACGCCAGCGCGGCGTGCAGCAACATTCTCGCTTTGATGAGGAGGCGCCGCTTGCAATCGTGCTCGGGTTGGCGATGTTGCACGTGCGTGGTTACTTTTTCACACTTGGAAAGCATGTGCCAAGAAATTCTTCCTGAGGGCTGCGGATTTTGACCGATCTGTATCATTTGGATCATGTTGGCTCGCAGCCTCGACCACTGATTTGTCAAATTGTTGTCAGCATGTTGCTGTAAACTAGCGGCTGATGTGAACCATTTGTTTCCTTTCCGCTTGACCAAATTATGTACAGGCAGCTGCCGTGCAGGACCGCGAGGCTGGCTGCAATGCCCAAGGTATCTTCAGATGCGCAACCTCGGGTTTGGTTCTGCAGTCACGACTTTGAACCTTCCAATTGCGGGGTGACTTCAACATGGTGAAATTATTGCTGTGGCTGCGGCTTGTTCTTTGCAGGTGCTGTCTGGCTTTCACGTCCATTTCAAAGGCTCCGATTCAAGAGCAAAAAATGAGTCAGGCAGCTGACCTTGATTTAGATGTTGTGCCCAATCGCCTCGTGCGCTCCCATGCCCTTCAGGTCCCAAGTCGCACACCTTGTTGCCAATTGCGCATTCATACCTCCTACTGTGCTTCAAGCCGGGCGTGGTTCAAACGGTGACCAGGTAGTCAAGATGGTCACCGCAGCCAAACAATATCCCGATTGACAAACCTCTGAAGTTGCACTTCTCTTGTGAGCATTCACTCTGGATGATGCCACAATACCTGCCCAAGCGCTTCTTGGAAGAGCTGCATGTTTGTCATGTAAAAGTGTCCAGGATGTCCTGCATGAGCTTTTGTCGACTTGGCCGCATCACCGGGTTCCCTTCTCTGGCGCAGGCCGCCGCGGACGTGATCCGCTTCTGGTTTGAGGAGCTGACCACCGATGATTGGCCCGGGAGCCGAGACAGGGCTTCAAGCAGAAAGGGCCGTCATCAGCTCGGTGTTGGCTGCGTTGGACATCGTGGCAACAATTTTCCAAGACGTTGCCCACTTCCACGGGCTCCGAACAAGTTATGGGACCCATCCACATGTGCCGTGATGTTCCAACTTGCTGAGAGGAGTGGTAGTGGTAGCTTATTGCTGCTGAGAAGAAGGTATGGATCCAACACACTGCGCACACGGCATGCAGGTTGCCACCAGATGCATGAAGGCACGCACACGCCTTTGCACTGAAGCAAAGCAAAGTACGCCACAGGCCTGCAAGTAACAGTCTCCGGCCGTGCTCGCCCAGGTTCCGCCAGAGCCACATGCTGGACGACCGAATCCGCAAGGATTTTGGAGTGCTTCCGCCACGTTGGATTCTGGTTTCGTTTGCTCTGTGATGCCAAAATGGTGACTTCCAACCCAAGTGCGAAAGCAGTGCACGACCCTGACATCTACTTGACATGATGATTTACTTTTCGCGTGTGCCATGCGCACAGGCACTATGTGTCAAAATAGGGACCCCTTTTATTTGTGGTTTCCCTTCATAAGAAGCACGGGTGTTTTAGCCTCCACAAAGATCGTTTGGCCAAAAACCCTCGACGTGTTGGTTGGAACTGAGAAAAAGACGGGGAGCTCAAGGCGCTGCACAGCCGGGCGGCGGCCGGGGAGTTGGCTGGCTGGGCGCATCACGGAGACGCTTGGAAGTCACAGGGAGCCGGGTGCCATGTGCGAAGCAAATGGGTAAAGTTCCGGACCCTTCGCTAGGCATCAGAACTCAGGGACAAGAAGGTCCACCGCTGTTGAGGTTTCCCATTAAGATTCACGGCCATTTGAGGGAAGAGCATCTTCCTGCGACCCTCTGGTCGAACATGTGTGTGAGTGTGTGAGTGTGTGAGTGTGTGAGTGTGTGAGTGTGTGTACGCGTGTGTGTTTTTGAGGCGCGGTGCTCTTTTCAGATTTTGACATCTACCCACTTGGCCCTGCAGGGTTTGCGCATCCCCAAGAAAGTTTGTCTATTCACTCTTGGTCCTCTGTACATGTATTTGCAAGGCACAGAGACCCCCTAGAAGGCATAGGCCTGAATCTCCTTCATCCGAATTTTCTCCGCGATGGGGGTCAAAAGGAGAAACTTGCATTGCTGCATTGCTGCTGAGTCCCTCCCCAAATCGCACATTCAATGTTTCACAACTGGCAAGGATCGAGACAATCTCTAGAAGCTTTGATCTGCTTTGCCATTCTTGAAACGTGTTGAACAAGTTTCGCCCGGTTCCAAAGCCAAGGATACGTGCCTAGCGCTGGTGGTGATCCTGGACCAGTTCTCCCGGAGCCTGCCTTGGCCTCGGAAAACTGTCCAAGGCTTTTTGATATTCATGGAGGAGTGTTGACCATAGGACAGCATTTTGCCATCTTTAAGCCATCCAACAAAACTTCGTAATCTTTAGAGCTCATGAACATGGTGGGGCATGTCAGATGCACCTCTCATTTTTTTTGAGATTGAGGTACCGTGGTACTCCTAGCGCCTATGCCTGCGATGTGGCGGCCCGCGCCGCGGCCAATGCGGCGCTCGTGCGGGGCGACGACAAGCGGCTGGGACAGAGTTGGGGGGGAGGTGTCCGGAATCCGTATGCGTTGCGCGTGCACACACACACACACAAACACAGAGCCTGGACAGTGGCCCAAGCAAGGACGGTTTTCAGAGACAAAGCTCGGAAAAGAGTGGAAGTGTCACTTGCAAGGCTTTTTTAGGTGATGGCTTGTTGGACAAACTCTCGTCTTGCTGAAGCATGGAGTCTTGCACACCTGGTTTGGTATATGGTTTGGTATTCACTCTTTCCTGTACCACCAGCATCAATTGGTGGCCTGGGCGCCACGGAAATTGGACCATTGCTTTGGCTCATCTGCTCTGGGCATCAGCGCTACACGTTGGGAGTGTCACACCGTAGGTGTCATCCCCCCGGGCCACGGCGCTGGGCCTTGTACCTGCCCTTCATGCACTCAGAGGACCTGCAGGAGCCCAGAGGGATGGGCTGACTGGGATGAGGTGTTGCCGTGTCTCGGGATCATTCCCACGTTTGAAGGTGTCTCTCTTTTCCTGGGCTCGCACAGGCTGGTTTCATCTCAAGACGCATCGCTTGCTGTCCCTTCTGAAACTTCTCATATCGCCAGAGTGAGTTGGTTGGTTTGCTGGAATGGTGTTGGGACTTGGCTGTGGTACGCTCTCCTCCAGCTGTGGCGAGTAAGCCAGGCAAAAAGCCAGCGAGTTTCCAGGGTGTTTGTTCTCGGATGTCACACTTGACAGGACAAGGTGCGTTGCGTGAACCTCATGCGCGAGGGCCTGGGGAAGTCTCTCTTCAAAGGACTGGACTTGGAGTATCTTGGAGTTGGGCCGTTGGGATGCGATCAGACCACATACAGATCAGCTTCCCAGTGGGTCGTGCTTCCAGGCTCAGACCCGAAATACAGATCAGTCGTTGAGCCTGCTCTGAAAGCGACGGCGCTGCTTTTCAGCTTGGTATTCGTTGTGCAAGCCTTCACTGCCTTGCAGCAATTCCGCAGGAGGGATCCCTGTCAACTCTCACGTGTTCAAACGCTTGCTGACATTTACCAGGGGACGTTGGAGAGGAGAGAGGAGGGGGATAGAGATGCGCGCCTTGGATTCTAGGACTTGGAGCTTATGGCTTTGTCTGCGTTTTGTGCTGGATCAGAGGCAGCGACTGTGGCTCGTCTTGACAAGAGGCTGGATAGCCGGATAGCCCAATGATTATCAGGCTTATCAGATTTCTTATGTTGGATGCACATGTCACATGCGGGTGTGGCACTTTTCTGGTCTAGTGCTTCTGCATTTGCGCAGGAAGCGCGGAGGCCAAAGCCCTGCCGAAGCTGAATGCCTCAGGCGGCGCCCTCTCCAAAGAGTCGTTTACATTTTTCAAAAGTCATCTTGAGTTTGCCAGTCCTTCGCGAGGCAATAATTTCAGGAGCCGTCAGGCAGCATTTCTGGAAGGTGAGTTCCGGCAAGAAGACGATATAGTTCCCAAACTTTTCCCGAAGACGGATTTCCTATCACGACCTTGAGCTCGCACGATCGCTTGAACAGCCAAGAGCAACCCCCGCAGGGCTTCAGACGCGGTCTTTGCCGGCCTGTGTGCCTGCTGTTTCAGCCTGCACTTTAATTGTGTCGCCAAACTGCAAGCCAGGATCTTTGAGGAGAGACTTGGACATTTCAGCGTGAAGCACCAAAAAAACCGGTGCAGCAAAAGCGGCCGCTCGCAACACTCTCGGGGAAAAAAAACAAACAAACAAAATAAAACACTGCAATGAATTGAGTGTTGGAAGCACTCAAATCTACTACTGGAGTCGATGGAGGCCAGAATTCTTGTGTTTTTTTTCCTTTTTTTTTTTTTTGGAATGATGTCTGCTATGTCTGCACATGCAGACATGCAGGTCAAAAGCAGATATGTTTAAACTGCTTCTGGGCACCTCTCCCTTTGTAGCCGCGGTTGGCCGGCATCAATGCGGGAGTGGACTTTTCAAGGAGCAACTGCTCCAGTGAACACGGCAAATGAGGCCGTGCGGCCAAATAGAAGGGAATCTCCTGCCGTATCCTGTTGTTTACTTGCTTCTTGTGCTTTTAACCGGTTCAGGGTGGAGGTGTTTTATTCCCTGCGCGTCGCCTAAGGCCATGAGAAGAAAAGCGCAAAGTCATCGCCAAAGATTGCTAGCAGCAACAGCATAGAGAAGGCGCGGGGTTTCCATTTACCCCGTTTGAGGTCATGGCTGGAGCTTTACCTTTAACGGGCCAGAGCTGCGCATACTTCTCGCATGTGTTTCTCGATCTCCTTTGTTTGCCTGGAATCGCGATTTTTGATATTTTCCGCTAGGAGCTGTTGAGAGATGACTTGACTGTTGGTTCACGCTTTCTGTGTAAGTAGCCTGCTTGAAACAGCTGACATGGTGAGAGTTTCTGCTCTCTCTTCTTTTTCTTGTTTTTTTGGAGCTGCTTCTGCTGCATTTTTCAAGGATTGCAGTTGCTGCCCCAAATGATGTGCTTGAGTCGAGATGGGGCCTTGATGTTTGGAAGCCCTGCATACTTTTCTTGTTTTGGCGTGTGGGGCATCTGAAACTTGGCCCCTGCAGAGAATTGCGGCAGCTGTCGATTGCCCAGGGCTGCAAAAGCCCAGAGGTGAGGAGGCACGAGGAGGCGTGGGGCAAGCTGACACACCAGGTGCTGACAAGTTCTGTTGGGGCAGTTTCTATTGATGACAAGCACAGGTGTTCTGCGAGGTAGATGGGAACTAACTTTTTCAGTGCTTCAGGATGTATTGAGGCCACGGCATTTTCTTTGTCTTGGCTTGCAGAGGTCGCCACGTCGCGCACAGGAGATATCAGAGGATGAGAGTGACATCAGCGACCTGGAGGATGTGAAAATATTGAAGGTGGGAAGGAGTGTCATTCGGGGCAGAACACAAATTCATACAGTTGACTACCAATGAAGGGTCCACCATTTTGAGGAACACTCATTCACTGACATTACTTTCTTACGTGCTTGTGGTCTTTTGGCAAGTGCCCTGGAAGGATTGCGATTGGCAGCAGACAAGTCTGAATTCTTTGGGCAGCAAGTGGTGCAATCAGTCGAAAGCAATTAGTCGCCACGTGAGGCCAGCCATGCGACGCACCGGGCAAGGGATGGCAGGAAGGCCTACTCCATGCAGGCGAGCTGCAGGGACATGCGGCGCTTGTGGGACGCAGTCGAGGCTTGCTTGTTGGAAGATGGCATAAAGTATTAAGAAACTGAGAAGTCTTGATCGTTTGTATCTTAGTGTATACAAGCCCCCGGAGTTTGCCGAATTCTCCGCACGGAATTTCCCCTGGAGTACCCGCGCCAGGCAGCCTTGGAGATCCCCGCCCTGCCAGTGCTGCCACTGAACCATGCCTGGAACCCCAGAACCTCAGCAGGCGCTGAAAAGTCAGCACACGAGTTGCTTGTATATTTTGTGATCATTTGACTTCACTATGTGATCCCCGCTTCCACGGCGGCCTTGAGCAGGGTGTGAAATAGCTGCATCCTGATCGACATCAATTTCGACTGATCTGCGACATGCAGAGCTAGTGACATTGGCATGCTTGACTTCTCAGCGACCAAATGAAATGAAAGTTAGGCTGGGGAGGCTTGTTAGCTTGGAAATTACTCTCGCATCTCGCAAGTCAGGCAATCCCGCGGCAATCAACGGTGCACACCTGCGCACCCCCACCCCACACACCCCCACACTCACGCACATACACTGGCAGGTTGGAGAGAGCGAGCAACACAGTGCTAACAGTCGACCCAGAAGTTCATGGACTTTGCCCGAGGGCGCAGTGTACACCGTGTCACCGCGTTGTAGGGCTCTGGCGCCCAGAAGGATTTGTATATCCCACAGCTACGGCATGCGCCGATCAATTGCTCGTTGTTGCTCAAGGATCTCTTGAGATGACAGCTTGGCCATTCAACCTGAACCTTTGCATTGCGGATTTGGCATAAGCATGGAATGATGACGTTATTTGTAAATGATGTGAGGGTTGAAGCCCATGATGTGAGGAATGCGAGTATTGCCGGCATTCCAAGTTTCTGGATTTACTTCCCTTTGAACGCCAGGATGGTGCTTGACAGCAGCCAGTATGGTTGCCCAAACATGTTGCCCTGAATGGCTGGCAGCCGTTTGGACAGATTGCCTTTAGTTTCTGGGTTTGAAAACAATGGTGCGTAACCAGCACTTTGCAATCCCAACACAGACCAATTTGACGGATGTGGAGGTGCGCAAAGAACACCCATGGAAATACCAAAATCGCAGCAAAATCCAGGGATCAAACATCGGTTGCCCAAGTCTCCCTCCCAGCTCTTGAAATGGCTGTGGGTCAACAATAGGTACCCTAAATGGAACCCTGGTAAATGGAACCAAGGACTAAAACCTGCGGTCCAATTCCTGGTGGTTTGATTTTGACCCATCCCCAAATGGTCTTTGCGTTTCTTTCCAGAGCCATGGCCCGGGCGAATGAGTCTCGCCCGCGTCCGGACCCGCGTCTCGAGGCGCACGCCCAGCGCTTCAGAGAGATGCGGCTGGATGCGCAGACGCAACAGGCAGAGGGACCCAGGGACCGGGGGATGGCGCAGCTGGGCGCGTGTTGTGTTTTGGAGTTGGTACCCCTTTTCTGGTCCCCGGGGAGAACCCAAAGGAGAACCGGCGCGCCATGTTGGGGAAAGAGGACGACCCATTTGGGTGCGAGGAAGCCTTGATCACCAGGAATCGGGGTCTGATAGATGTGCTCCATGAGCACCAGCCTTGGGGAAGATACCGAGACAGGTACACGTCCGCATGAGGTTTGGGGGACTAGTCCCAAAAATCATCAGTTCCCCGACAAATCATTAGGACCACTAGGGGCTTTTGAATGGACCTCAGACAAGATCGCCATCTTGTTGAGATGTTGTCTATGTCTTAGGCTTTGATTCCCCTTTTGCGGGCCTTTGTGGTGTTGCAGGTTTGTCAAGCTGCTCTTGCTGTCTGCAATTATGTCTTGTTTGTCTGTTTGGTTGTAGGGTGGCTTCCAAGTGGCAAGTGTTACGCTAGGGCAGGTTTCCGGTTTTTGCTAGATTGCATGTGGTGCGTAATCTTAAATGTTGTCCCGCGGGGGAACCTTCCTGGTTCCGGCGGGGTTTCAACCACGTCGTTGCAGCCTTTGGTTTTGACTCGGAGCCTCACTCCCCGGCCATGGCTCGCCTCCTTGCTATCGCCTCGCTGCCGCTCGTCGCGCACGGCCACGGCACGCTGACTTGGCCACCCAACCGGGTGACTTTTGGCAGAGATTCAGTAAGGGACCGGGGCAGAGGTGGGGGGGGGTTCTCCCAAGAGGCGACCGTTACTCAACAACGACTTGTTGTAAAATGAGTAGTTACTGCCCAGCATGTTCAGCAAGGCAAGAGCAAACACAGTACGGATGTGACGGGGGAGAGGGTACAAGGGAACTTGGAGCCTAATGCCAGCCCACCACCCACCATCCCGAGGAATGGCAGCATGGCCAATGCCGGCAGTTGTGCGTGGGACGATTGCATTTGGTACACCGACTTCGTACAGATTCCGGGCGAGCCCACAGTGAATGCAGAGGACTGGGTGAAAGAGGTTGGTCGAGTGCGAGTTTTGCCCTTGGAAGATAGGCATGGGCAGATGATGTGAACTGGCGGCTAGCTGGCCGTCGCTTCGCTTGCTAGCATCACGTGGGCTTGCTTGTTTCCTACTATTCATTGCTGTCCATGCCAACCGGACAAATCTGTTGCCAGTGAATCTCCATGTTGCAAACAAGAGCGCATGTTTGGCGCGTTTCAGCCCACAGCAATCGCAGCGCCCAAAGCTTCGCATGGCCGAGTTGCGAAGGGCGGACAGTTCTGCTCCGCTTTGTGCTTTCGGCGTAGCTACATTGCCTCATGTGTCCTAGGTATCAGCAACAAAAGAAACTTTAGAGCCTCCGGCTCAGTCCGCCGACATTGTCCTCTCCCTTTTCTCCTGCTTCCTCTCTCCCTTGTCTCCCTGGTGTGTTCTGTCGTCCTCTCTCCCTCCCTCCGCTCCCCATCCTCCCCATCCCCCCAAGCCACTCTCTCCCCAATCTCCCTCTCTCGTATGTATGTATGTATGTATGCATGCATGTATATATTTATGTATGTAATGTATGCATGTATATATTTATGTATGTAATGTATGCATGTATGTAATGTAATGTAATGTAATGTAATGTAATGTGATGTGATGTGATGTAATGTATTGTATGTAATGTATGTATGTATGTATGTATGTATGTATGTATGTATGTATGTATGTATGTATGTATGTATGTATGTATGTATGTATGTATGTATGTATGTATGTATGTATGTATGTATGTATGTATGTATGTATGTATGTATGTATGTATGTATGTATGTATGTATGTATGTATGTATGTATGTATGTATGTATGTATGTATGTATGTATGTATGTATGTATGTATGTATGTATGTATGTATGTATGTATGTATGTATGTATGTATGTATGTATGTATGTATGTATGTATGTATGTATGTATGTATGTATGTATGTATGTATGTATGTATGTATGTATGTATGTATGTATGTATGTATGTATGTATGTATGTATGTATGTATGTATGTATGTATGTATGTATGTATGTATGTATGTATGTATGTATGTATGTATGTATGTATGTATGTATGTATGTATGTATGTATGTATGTATGTATGTATGTATGTATGTATGTATGTATGTATGTATGTATGTATGTATGTATGTAATGTATGGATGTATGTATGTATGTAATTATGTATGTATGTATGTATGTATGTATGTATGTATGTATGTATGTATGTATGTATGTATGTATGTATGTATGTATGTATGTATGTATGTATGTATGTATGTATGTATGTATGTATGTATGTATGTATGTATGTATGTATGTATGTATGTATGTATGTATGTATGTATGTATGTATGTATGTATGTATGTATGTATGTATGTATGTATGTATGTATGTATGTATGTATGTGTATGTATGTATGTATGTATGTATGTATGTATGTATGTATGTATGTATGTATGTATGTATGTATGTATGTATGTATGTATGTATGTATGTATGTATGTATGTATGTATGTATGTATGTATGTATGTATGTATGTATGTATGTATGTATGTATGTATGTATGTATGTATGTATGTATGTATGTATGTATGTATGTATGTATGTATGTATGTATGTATGTATGTATGTATGTATGTATGTATGTATGTATGTATGTATGTATGTATGTATGTATGTATGTATGTATGTATATGTATGTATGTATGTATGTATGTATGTATGTAATGTATGTATGTATGTATGTATGTATGTATGTATGTATGTATGTATGTATGTATGTATGTATGTATGTATGTATGTATGTATGTATGTATGTATGTATGTATGTATGTATGTATGTATGTATGTATGTATGTATGTATGTATGTATGTATGTATGTATGTATGTATGTATGTATGTATGTATGTATGTATGTATGTATGTATGTATGTATGTATGTATGTATGTATGTATGTATGTATGTATGTATGTATGTATGTATGTATGTATGTATGTATGTATGTATGTATGTATGTATGTATGTATGTATGTATGTATGTATGTATGTATGTATGTATGTATGTATGTATGTATGTATGTATGTATGTATGTATGTATGTATGTATGTATGTATGTATGTATGTATGTATGTATGTATGTATATGTATGTGTATGTATGTATGTATGTATGTATGTATGTATGTATGTATGTATGTATGTGTATGTATGTATGTATGTATGTATGTATGTATGTATGTATGTATGTATGTATGTATGTATGTATGTATGTATGTATGTATGTATGTATGTATGTATGTATGTATGTATGTATGTATGTATGTATGTATGTATGTATGTATGTATGTATGTATGTAATGTATGTAATGTATGTAATGTATGTATGTATGTATGTATGTATGTAATGTAATGTAATGTAATGTAATGTATGTATGTAATGTATGTATGTAATGTAATGTAATGTAATGTAATGTAATGTAATGTAATGTAATGTAATGTAATGTAATGTAATGTAATGTAATGTAATGTAATGTAATGTAATGTAATGTAATGTAATGTAATGTAATGTAATGTAATGTAATGTAATGTAATGTAATGTAATGTAATGTAATGTAATGTAATGTATGTATGTATGTATGTATGTATGTAATGTAATGTAATGTAATGTAATGTATGTATGTAATGTAATGTAATGTAATGTAATGTAATGTAATGTAATGTAATGTAATGTAATGTAATGTAATGTAATGTAATGTAATGTAATGTAATGTAATGTAATGTAATGTAATGTAATGTAATGTAATGTAATGTAATGTAATGTAATGTAATGTAATGTAATGTAATGTAATGTAATGTATGTAATGTAATGTAATGTAATGTAATGTAATGTAATGTATGTATGTATGTATGTATGTATGTATGTATGTATGTATGTATGTATGTATGTATGTATGTATGTATGTATGTATGTATGTATGTATGTATGTATGTATGTATGTATGTATGTATGTATGTATGTATGTATGTATGTATGTATGTATGTATGTATGTATGTATGTATGTATGTATGTATGTATGTATGTATGTATGTATGTATGTATGTATGTATGTATGTATGTATGTATGTATGTATGTATGTATGTATGTATGTATGTATGTATGTATGTATGTATGTATGTATGTATGTATGTATGTATGTATGTATGTATGTATGTATGTATGTATGTATGTATGTATGTATGTATGTATGTATGTATGTATGTATGTATGTATGTATGTATGTATGTATGTATGTATGTATGTATGTATATGTATGTATGTATGTATGTATGTATGTATGTATGTATGTATGTATGTATGTATATGTATGTATGTATGTATGTATGTATGTATGTATGTATGTATGTATGTATGTATGTATGTATGTATGTATGTATGTATGTATGTATGTATGTATGTATGTATGTATGTATGTATGTATGTATGTATGTATGTATGTATGTATGTATGTATGTATGTATGTATGTATGTATGTATGTATGTATGTATGTATGTATGTATGTATGTATGTATGTATGTATGTATGTATGTATGTATGTATGTATGTATGTATGTATGTATGTATGTATGTATGTATGTATGTATGTATGTATGTATGTATGTATGTAATGTAACGTAACGTAATGTAATGTAATGTAATGTAATGTAATGTAATGTAATGTAATGTATGTATGTATGTATGTATGTATGTATGTAATGTATGTAATATGTAATGTATGTAATGGATGTCTGTATGTAATGCAATGTAATGTAATGCAATGTGAGGTAAGGTAATGTAATGTATTGCAATGTAATGTGAAGTATGTATGTATGTAATGTATGTATGTATGTATGTATGTATGTATGTATGTATGTATGTATGTATGTGTGTACGTATGTATGTATGTAATGTAATGTAATGTAAAGTAATGTAATGTAATGTATGTATGTATGTAATGTAATGTAATGTAGTGCAATGTAATGTAATGTATGTATGTATGTAATGCATGTATGTATGTAGGTCTGTCTGTCTGTCTGTATGTATGTCTGTATGTCTGTATGTATGTATGTATGTATGTATGTATGTTTGTATCCTTGCACTTCCCCTTTGCTCCCCAGTATTTCCCGCAAAATACACGGTTTTTCCCGCGTTTTCGCAAAGAGGATGTCCAAAAACACAGAGTTTTGCCAGATTTTCGGCAAAAGGATGCAGGAAGCCCAAGCCAGCAAAAAAGCCGGCAGGGGGAATCGAGCCTGGGACCCCTGTTTTGCGACACCGGCTCCCCGAAGACTACGTTTAGTGGAACGTCATCAAATTGCCGCGCGGTACGTGGGCCCCCCCCCCCCCGCGGGGGTTATCCTTTATCCTCTCTTAGGTGTCCGACACAAAAGCACGATGACCGGAAGCAGGGTTCATTTCTGAAAGGTACCTTGGCTGGGCTGCAGGGTAGGGCAATACCAGACACAGCTTTATGCATGGTTTATACATGCTTACAAGTATTTCTGTCTGGACTGCAAATTTAGCAACCTGGGGGTGCTCTGAACGGTGCAGCAGGTCGCTTGTTGTGTGTGCGACATGGGCATCCGGAGGCTGCCTGGGCGCCTGCCATGTGCACAGCAAGTGCTTGTCATTCGCTCAACGACATCACCCACGACTTCCCGTGTATTTGCTGCCAGCTCCAGCCAACACACGTTGCGCAGCAGCTATCTTATTTTCTCTCGCACGCTGCTCAAGCAGGGTAGCCATCATGCACCACACTTGGTTCGCACAAACACCAAGGCTAGTCCAGAACGCCTGCAAGCATCAAGCACATCAAAACAGCAACACTTTTCGCGACGCTGCAAGGAGTTCCGCACATTCAACGTCAAGGTCTCCTCGGGCAGTGAGGACTGGACCGCCAAGAGCCCCTGGCGCGCCCCGGGGACGGCGCCAGTTCTGGGCAGGGGGTGCGGTGTCTACGGCGGCAAGCGAGACTTCGTGGAAGACTCCTCGGGGGACCTGCTGCGCCTGGGCTTTTGGCTAACACTCTCAGTTTGGGTAGGCTGGCCTTAGGTATGTTGGAATGTGGAGTTGAGGCTTGAGTTCTGCACGCTTTCTGGGGCCTTTGGTGTGCGTGTCAGTACTCCCGCAATGTATGAGATTCAGTGGTCCGTACGGACGGGACATGGCAAACCCACGCTTTTCTTCCCATGTCCTGTAATTAGGGGGAACAATTAGTATGGACCCCGTTTTCCTTGCTGTTTCACCGCGTTCAAGGGGATGGGTATGTGCTCGCCAAGGAAGAATCTTCCGCCGGGCACGGATGGCGTGGATTTGCCGGCAAATGAACCCACGCAGTGGCCAAAAGGCTCCGTACAGGAGGTGGCATGGGCCATTGCGGCCAACCACGGAGGCGGCTACTCCTACCGCCTTTGCCCAAAGTCCGGGGATGTGTCGGAGGAGTGCTTCCAGAGGCACGTGCTGAAATTCGTGGGGGACACCCAGTGGCTGATCTACGGGAACGTCACCCAGATGGGCGAGTCCATCGCTTCGGAGATGCCTCGCCTGGCCCTGCCGCTGAAACGTGTGACCGAGGGCACGTTCCCTAAGGGCAGTGAGTGGGCCAGGAACCCCGTGCCCAGCTGCGACATGTTCAGCCAGAAGATGTGCGAGGGCCTGCCGCAGAAGAAGTTCATCAATTGCGCCCAGGCGGCCAGCGGCTACGACGTGGTCACCTGCCCTCCTGGCCGGGTGCAGTTCCCAGAGCCCTACCCGGGCATCAGTGGACACGTGCCCTGGTGGCGCAGTGGGCTCAATGCCACCACGCCCCAGTGGTCCACTCATTTGATGGGCGGCTCCGCAGGGAATCCGCCCGTCTCCCGGGGCTTCCCGTTCAGCGTGGCAGACTTGGTGCAGGTGCCGGAGGACCTCCCTGCGGGCGACTACCTGCTCTCCTGGCGCTGGGACTGCGAGCAATCCACCCAGGTCTGGCAGAATTGCGCCGACCTTCGCATCGTGGAGCCGGAAGGTCCACAGGGCCCCCCAGCTTCACAGCCGGCCGCGCAAGGTCCGCAAGGCCCACCAGTCGGGAGCGAAGACACAGTGCTTCCGTAAGTGAGCGTTGCGTGACGGTCTGCACAGACTTTTGTTGACTCAGGTGAACCCGGGGCGGCACAGAGGTGCCTTGAGATTTGCAAGCCAAATTCAGGGATCCCTCTACTTGATCCTGGGCTGATCAGCATAGTGCATGAGAATTCGATGGCAACTTGTCAATCAAGAGCCGTCTGCAAGCCTTTTGGTTTGATTTGCGGCAGTTCCGAACCGCGTCATGTAGTGGTCTCATTTGCTGGAAGCGGCAGCTGACAGCAGGCCACAACCCGCGGCCGAGCTCTTTGAAAACCCGCCGCGGACAAGTTTTGGTGGTATTGCAATGCAGAAAGCTGGAAGGTGCCCCGGAAGACTGCAACGGATATTTTCCCCGGAGCCTTTTGGACAAAGCGAACCGTGTAAAACCTTTGAGTCGGCCTTCCAGTGCTGCAAGCGATGGCTGGGCCTTGTGTGACACCTTGAAGCTTCTCACAGTGGAGACAAGTGTTGTACGCATTGCAAAATCGCACCTTTCCCTTGTGCAAAACATGTACTGTATGTATATATATATATATATCCTCACCGCCTGCCAGGTATGTGCAATTGTTCTGATGGCGTTGAAGTACATGCGGAGCAATGAGCAACGCACATGTTATCAAAGCACTGTGCCAGCTACATCTAGACTTTTCCGCAAAACACGCGAGGCATTCCCCGACCTTCCCAATATTGCGCTACACTACATTCCATAGGACCCCATAGGACTGCATCTCGTCAAGCTACGTTCCATTGCATTTGGAAAAGCTGATATGTTGGAGAGTCACCTTTGGCCCTGGGCAGTTCGGACTTGCCGACCGCCAGCCAAGTTTCTATGGAACTTTATAACGTGCCCCACCACGGGGTTCAGCGCTGCTGAACATTGCTGCTTTTTTCCGAGCAGCTTTCGGCAAGCATAGACGCTCGCTGGGATGTCCACTTTTGCTCCGAAGCCTTGGGCCGTACCGAAGCCTTGGCTTTGTGCGTGGCCATTGCCCAGCGAGCTACGAATGAACCGCGCGCAGGGAGCGAAACGGAGGTGTTGTTGTCCTAACATCGACGCATATTCGAAAGAACCAATTGGAATTTGTGACTGGTCACCGCATCCGAAGGACCAGTTCAGACAAATACTGCTTGTTTTTCGATGACTGTGCGATCATGGCCTAAGAAGATTCCTTCCTACTCTGCCAGCTTAGCTAGCCTTTGTAATGGAGTTTTTGTCTTTTGATGTGTGAATTGGCCTGGTCCAGGAGTCCAATTCTGAGGGGGTCTAAATCTGGTCAGACAGAATGCTTGGTCTTGTCGAGAGAAGGCGCCTGCAACGCAAGGTGAACCTAGTGTCAAGAAATCCCATTTGCAACCCTCACTGCACACACTCTAAGCCCCCTTATGTTCCTTTTTTAGGGAGCGACCTTGTGTATCCTTCTGACAGGGTCTTTGGAGCACCGTTGAATCGTTGCCACTAGGATCATGGATATGACGTCGGGCTGGGATGTGGTCACCCAGGCTAACAGATGCAGGTGACGATTCCCAGACGCACACACAAGCACAAGTATGACTTGCTGGTGCTCAGCGGGGAATTATGAGGGAAAGACCCCGATTTCAACCATCCCCTATGGTTTCCTTTAAGGGAAGCCCCAGGTTCATTCCCTCATTCCCTGCTGCGAACCAGCAAGTATAAGCACAAGCAGATTCTTGAACCATCATGTTGCCAGCTGATTCCTCGGGGTCGCATGGATTGCTGCAATGAAACCGTGCGATGCTTCGGTCGCCAGAAGTGACGAGGTAGGATTGAAGATGTGCCCTTGGAGAGGCCTACCTGCGGGACCGAAAGGACGCTGCACGGGTGGTGCGCTATCAGTGGCCTGGCATTGATCATGACATGCAGGAATTGATTTGCGCGCTCATGTTAGTCGTGCAGAACTTGGCCACGCATTGTATGTTGTTTGCCAAGGTGCCTTGTGTGCGCCACGGACCACGAGTTTGGCATGCGGAAAGGAGCAGTGCTTGGGCTGCAGGTGATTTGTGAGGTGGAGTGGCTTGGGCCGGTGAGAGCCAGCTTTGAAACCCATGTTCAGCAAGAGTTAGGTGTTCCCTCACACAGGGTGCGACCTTTGATATGGCGTGGGAAAGGACAGTTGAAAGCTCAACCACCAAAAGACAAGACACGATCATGTTGTCTTTATGTTACGTTCCGCTTTGTTCCTCGGCCAATCGTGCGGTTTTCAGCGGGGTGTTAGTTGTGCTGACGCCAAGGCCGGGGAGCACAGCTGATTGGACTCCGATCGAATTTCGGCGATGGTCGCGAAGAAACAAACGGTGCAGCTAAAGATCTTGGTCATGCATTCTCCAGCCAGCTTGTGCTTTGGAATGCCTGCAATGGCCAGCACTTGCACCTCGGCAAGCCGCTCAATTCGGCCTTTTCAATTCTTGTCCAAGTGTTTTCACGGGATACGGGGGATTTGAACTCAAGGCCAGCCGGCCAAGCGGGCGGAGCCCTTCGGCCTCGGGGAGGTTTCCTTGAGCTAGGCCGCTGAGACCTGTACGGCCGCCGGGGCCGAAGATAGGTCCTGACGTCCTTGTGCATTGAAGGTTTGCCGCAGTTCAACACAATCTTGAGGGAGAGAGACTTGGGAGGCATTGGGGGGTGGGACGTTTCGACTTGTGGGGGGAAGATGGCCCATTTCAGAAGCGAGCCAGAGGAAGATTTCAAAAGAGCGGCAGAGAGCCGTTCAACATGTCTGCTGAAATTCTTTGTGACCCACAAGAGCTACAACATGGATAAACCTTCAAGGCCAGTGAAAGCAACATCGACACGCGCGAGCGGCTGATTCGACGGATGCTCCAAAGGAGCATTGTCCAGCTTGATGGCATCAAAAGGCAATGTCGGATTCCAGAGCAGCGCAGTGCACCGCATGATCATTTTTTTGGGCGAAAGTATGACCCAGATTTTATCTGAAAAAGATCTTAAAGAACACTTCTGACTTTGAGTAGGTTCAACTGAATTCACCGGCGCCAAACCCCAACTCCCGCAGATTACAGGTGACGATCCTTGAAGGTTTCAAGGCAAATATGAGTTTGGACTGGTTGCCATGTCCCATCCAAGCTCAATGGGCCGCAAGCAAATCATGAATGGCCTCCAGTTGCAGTGGCCTGGATTCTTTGCAAGGTTGGGCACTTGGTTCGTGTTGCTGATGTGGCAAAACCAGTCTGCACGCGGCAGTTTTGCAGAGCTGTGAGCGTCAGAGCCCTCTGGCACTTTGCACACCTCGCACTGCCTCGCACCAACTCGCATGACAGCACCTCACAGAGCCAAGAGGTTTGGGCCAATACACGACTGGCTATCGGCTAGCATCTCGGTTTGGCGAATGCGTCCATCACTCGGCGGACCTGGCTCAAGCATTGCAAGCGGTAGGATTCGTCCAGTTCTGGTTTTGCTAAGCTGGCAAGCTCTGGTTGCCGCTTCGGAGCTGCCTAGTGCTGTTCTTGGTTCGCTTCTTCCGTATACGAGCAGCAGGGAAAAGCTAGCTTGGGCCTCACTGCTTCTTCGCAATTGCAGCAGGCTTCTCACATGACTGCAAGGTACCGCTTTGCTCGGAGTGTAGATAGATTGAATTCGTTTAGGGCTTCCGTAGCCATGCGTTTGTGGTGCTTACTGCCAGTCTTCCTCGGGGCAGATGGGGCGCTGCCTGAGACGCTTTGCTGCATGTGGTGACATGCAAAGGGTGTTGGTCGAGGCTTCGCGATCCTTGCGAGAGCAGAGCTGGTGCAAAACAAGAAATCTAGACCATAGGCCCAGAAGACAACAGCGTGAATGTTCTTTGATGAAATTATTTTGCCATCTTGATATTGATAGTGGGCACTGAAGCGGCTAGTGGCAGGATCAAAATGAATATTCTGTTTCGCTTGGAGTGGACTTCGCACATTGCCACCTGAGTCACAATCAAAACTTGAGTCATTGGAGGGTTGGAACAATCCCGGCCATAAATGGGTGCGCCTTTCAATTCTTGAAGCATGGTTCTGGGTCAACCACTTTGCACTTTTTTGTACCAGGTTTGATTGTGACTCACATTCCGATTCCTTTGATTCACGGGCTGAGCTCGAAGTTTGCGCTGAGGCTGCCTCACAGCTCCCAGCGCCCTTGGCTGCTGAGGAGCGCAGCTTCTAGCGAGGGCTGGGTTTGCTGGTGCTGGTCACGGAATATGAGACTTGCCTCTACGAACCATTTGCTATGGTTTCCTTTCAGGGGGTTCCATTGGTTCATGCCTCAAATCACCAAAGTAGGGGGGAACCCTGAAAATGGAGGGCAATGGAGGGTTTGGCTTCTTTCGAACACCTCCAGAAGGGACTCTCAAAAGAAGAGACGTCCTTCCCACAAACAGGGTGCAAAGCTTCTGACATGGCCCGGGCCACTTTTCATTTGGTTGACAGTGTTGGCGCACATGTTGACACTCCTCGGCTTTAAGCTATTCTTCGCATCAGCTGCAATGCCTTTCTCGCTTTGCTCAGCTCTGCTGTCGCATGTAGAATGCCCACTTCTCGCCGCAGCTCCAATCGGCACTTGCAGAGCGCATTCGACATCAACACATCAACCTGAAGCCGAAGAAAAACATCAACATCCAACGCGCTGGGTCCGATAAGGACACTGCGCACATGTCACTGACCTTGCAAGGCCTGTTTTCACACGCAGTCTGAGCATGTGTTGATGCTTCCATTGCTCAGGCGTGTTATAAACGTCGAAACTCTCACCAGTTTGATTGAGTTTGACCAAGAGCCTCACAACCTGCTGCATACTTACCAATGGAACCAATTTGCAAGTCCTTGTTGATGCTTATTCAGAGGCGTTGTATGTCGATCATCTTTTGAGCGACCTTTGCATCCACTGAAGATCTCGAGTGAAGGCATACTTTCGTGCATAGGTGCCGTGGAGCAATACAGCTCGACTGGGGCGAATGAAGCAACTCAGTATCCTGCAGGATGCTCATGCTATCAGCAGGTTGTTGTTGCTTTAGAGAGGTATTCCTGATTCTCAGATGAGGCTGACCCATTTTGCTTCACGGTCTTTGATTTGCTCGTGTTTCCCAGGAGGATGGCAACCCGGCCTCCTTTGCAAGAGCCTGGAATCGCGTCTGAGGATTCAGAGAGACAAGAACCGCTTAAACTTGCCTTTGCTCATTGCTCTGCGCCCTTGCTCTGCATCATTTTTTGCTACGAATATTCGGCCAGTGCGTTGCGCAGGAGAACAGTTCCGGACCTCTCCGTGTACAAGAAGGCCCGCCGGGCCTGCCCGCCTCCAGCATGCGTTGCTTTCTGAAGTGACAAGGTTCGCGAGGCAGTTGCTCGCCATGCTCCCTCAGGGCGGAGTATGAGAAATGACAAGGAATCCTTATTGTATGATCAATTGCATTTAGTGCCCGCTTTTGTTATCAAGCACATGCTTATACAAATGATCACTTGCAAATGCCATGATTAAGAAAAGGGCCAGCACTCATTTGTGGCATCATCTCCAATCGCCAAGCGATTCCCAACTCCAGCATTTCTTGGCTCCAAGCGGCGCGTTGAGTAGAGCAAGAGCACTTCCAACCATGAAGTTGTGCTATGTGTTGGCAACACTCGTGTTCTTGCTGGTGAAGGGCAAGGATGAAGTGCACCACCTTCGGGGAAAGAGCGAGGAGGTGACAAATGAAGCTGCTCAAGGAGAAGAAGCTGGAGCTGGTCTTGAGACTGAAGAGGGTGCCACCACAGGCGCAGAACAGAAGGCCAGAGTCTGCCGGAGTTGGGTGTCCTGCAAGAATGGCTTCTTTGGCAACATTCGATGCGACGGCAACCGATACTGCACACGCTGGGGCTCAATGGAGAAGGCAGCCGAAAAGCCTGCAGAATCAGCCGCCGAGATGGACGCAGAGAATGAAGCTGCTCAAGGAGAAGAAGCTGGAGCTGGTCTGGAGACTGAAGAGGGTGCCACCACAGGCGCAGAACAGAAGGCCAGAGTCTGCCGGAGTTGGGTGTCCTGCAAAAACGGCTTCTTTGGCAACATTCGATGCGACGGCAACCGATACTGCACACGCTGGGGCTCAATGGAGAAGGCAGCCGAAAAGCCTGCAGAATCAGCCGCCGAGATGGACGCAGAGAATGAAGCTCAAGGAGAAGAAGCTGGACCTGAAGAGGGTGCCACCACAGGCGCAGAACAGAAGGCCAGAGTCTGCCGGAGTTGGGTGTGCAATGGGATGCGACGGCACTGCACACGCTGGGGCTCAATGGAGAAGGCAGCCGCCTGCAGAATCAGCCGCCGAGATGGACGCAGAGAATGAAGCTCAAGGATGGAGCTGGTCTCAGAACAGAAGGCCAGAGTCTGCCGGAGTCCTGGACGGCTTCTTTGGCAACATTCGAGACTGAAGAGGGTGCTGCACCACAGAAGCGCAGAACTGGCCAGAGTCTGCCGGAGTTGGGTGTCCTGCAAGAACGGCTTCTTTGGCAACATTCGATGCGACGGCAACCGATACTGCACACGCTGGGGCTCAATGGAGAAGGCAGCCGAAAAGCCTGCAGAATCAGCCGCCGAGATGGACGCAGAGAATGAAGCTGCTCAAGGAGAAGAAGCTGGAGCTGGTCTCGAGACTGAAGAGGGTGCCACCACAGGCGCAGAACAGAAGGCCAGAGTCTGCCGGAGTTGGGTGTCCTGCAAGAACGGCTTCTTTGGCAACATTCGATGCGACGGCAACCGATACTGCACACGCTGGGGCTCAATGGAGAAGGCAGCCGAAAAGCCTGCAGAATCAGCCGCCGAGATGGACGCAGAGAATGAAGCTGCTCAAGGAGAAGAAGCTGGAGCTGGTCTGAGACTGAAGAGGGTGCCACCACAGGCGCAGAACAGAAGGCCAGAGTCTGCCGGAGTTGGGTGTCCTGCAAGAACGGCTTCTTTGGCAACATTCGATGCGACGGCAACCGATACTGCACACGCTGGGGCTCAATGGAGAAGGCAGCCGAAAAGCCTGCAGAATCAGCCGCCGAGATGGACGCAGAGAATGAAGCTCAAGGAGAAGAAGCTGGAGCTGGTCTCGAGACTGAAGAGGGTGCCACCACAGGCGCAGAACAGAAGGCCAGAGTCTGCCGGAGTTGGGTGTCCTGCAAGAACGGCTTCTTTGGCAACATTCGATGCGACGGCAACCGATACTGCACACGCTGGGGCTCAATGGAGAAGGCAGCCGAAAAGCCTGCAGAATCAGCCGCCGAGATGGACGCAGAGAATGAAGCTCAAGGAGAAGAAGCTGGAGCTGGTCTCGAGACTGAAGAGGGTGCCACCACAGGCGCAGAACAGAAGGCCAGAGTCTGCCGGAGTTGGGTGTCCTGCAAGAACGGCTTCTTTGGCAACATTCGATGCGACGGCAACCGATACTGCACACGCTGGGGCTCAATGGAGAAGGCAGCCGAAAAGCCTGCAGAATCAGCCGCCGAGATGGACGCAGAGAATGAAGCTCAAGGAGAAGAAGCTGGAGCTGGTCTCGAGACTGAAGAGGGTGCCACCACAGGCGCAGAACAGAAGGCCAGAGTCTGCCGGAGTTGGGTGTCCTGCAAAAACGGCTTCTTTGGCAACATTCGATGCGACGGCAACCGATACTGCACACGCTGGGGCTCAATGGAGAAGGCAGCCGAAAAGCCTGCAGAATCAGCCGCCGAGATGGACGCAGAGAATGAAGCTGCTCAAGGAGAAGAAGCTGGAGCTGGTCTTGAGACTGAAGAGGGTGCCACCACAGGCGCAGAACAGAAGGCCAGAGTCTGCCGGAGTTGGGTGTCCTGCAAAAACGGCTTCTTTGGCAACATTCGATGCGACGGCAACCGATACTGCACACGCTGGGGCTGAATGACTCAGCTCGACGCGTCGAAGGTTGTTTAAGCTGCACAGGAAGTGTTGGCGGAGCCACGCTTCAGGTTTTGTTTTGTCAAGCCGCCATAAGAGCTGCAACTTTTGGCCCACTTTGGCAGTACATTCCAGATAGGATAAACTTTTGAGCCATTGTGGCGAATGCGCAAGAGTCACAATGACCTTGTTTTTTACGATGCAAGCATGGACAGGAGCGGGTGTCGGCAGGATCCCGTCGCGGCTTTGCGATTGTAGGCCAGTGTCTTAGGCCAGGAGTCCTTGACGCCCATCTGTTGCAGCGACTCAGCGAGTCTTGCCGCAGGAGAAACGTGGCTGCGCTGGACAATGCTCAAGGGTGGGAGTTTGGACAAGATGTGCCTGGTTTGCGTCAGATAAGTCTAGAGACTCACGCACGGACAGCCCTGGTGGGCCCGAAATCCGCTAACTGGCTGTCTCCAACAAGTTCCCCTATACAGCAGACCTTGCCTTACCACTGGAGCTCCAAACCAAACCATTCTCACCGGCGATATTCAGACGATTTGGCAGCTTTTAATGTCAAGCCTCAATCTGATTTGGATTGCCAGTCTGGCAGCCCGGAGCTACGCTCTGAAGAGCATGTGGTTGACAAAACGCGCTCGATACTTTCTGCGCGCCTGGCTCTGGTCGTCACCAAGCTGGCGTGCGCAGCATCTATCAGGTCATGCGGGTGTGATCAGGATAGGTTCAGGGCGATGCCCTATCAGAGCAGTTGCGTAGTTGCTGTAGGCATTGTTGCAACGGCCTAGTAGGTCTGTTGCCAGCCTCCTCCCGCACCCGTTTGGAGGCTCCGGGTATGAACACTACTCACCTCAGCCTTGATAAAGCAAGTTGAGCAAAGACAACATTCAACAACTTGCCATAGAGAACACATATTCATGGCGTATGCATTTCAGCGTTGCCTCAAACGCTCTTTGCCTTGTTCCTGTTCCCGCTTTGAGGCTATAGCCTGGCTTCAACTGTTTTGGGCTGGGGGTTGATGTAAACTACACATGTACTACCTGCATGTGCCTGAGATAATTGCTTGGTCTCTGATGCATCTGTCAGTTCATCCCGTTTTTCCGGAAAGCATGGCGAAGGGTTCTTCCGCTGCGTTCACTTGAGTTGTTCTCATGAGAGTCATTACAAGGTGTCATTGCAAGGAATCATCATCATGAAAGTCATTGCAAGGAGTCATTGCAAGGAGTCATTGCAAGGAGTCATTGCAAGGAGTCATTGCAAGGAGTCATTGCAAGGAGTCATTGCAAGGAGTCATTGCAAGGAGTCATTGCAAGGAGTCATTGCAAGGAGTCATTGCAAGGAGTCATTGCAAGGAGTCATTGCAAGGAGTCATTGCAAGGAGTCATTGCAAGGAGTCATTGCAAGGAGTCATTGCAAGGAGTCATTGCAAGGAGTCATTGCAAGGAGTCATTGCAAGGAGTCATTGCAAGGAGTCATTGCAAGGAGTCAAGTGCAAGTTGCAAGTGCATGGAGTCAAGTAGAAGTTGCAAGTGCAAGGAGTCAAGTGCAATTGACTTGCGAGGAGTTAAAATCTCTTCTTAGGGCGGCGGGGTAGTGCCGACGACACTACACGAAAATCGACCCTCTGCGGGGATCGGCGTGGTCGAGGTGCAAAAACCCATGGTTTGTTTACCGATTTTTAACATGCTCGCGCGACCCTCTGCGGGGATCGGCGTGGTCGAGGTGCAAAAACTCGAGGTTTTTTTGCGATTTCTGCGGTGCTCGCGCGACCCTCTGCGGGAATTGGCGTGGTCGAGGTGCAAAAACTCAAGTTTTTTTTTGCGATTTCTGCGGTGCTCGCGCGACCCTCTGCGGGGATCGGCGTGGTCGAGGTGCAAAAATTCAAGGTTTTTTGCGATTTCTGCAGTGCTCGCGCGACCCTCTTCGGCGTGGTCGAGGTGCAAAAACTCGAGGTTTTTTGCGATTTCTAAAGTTCCTGCGCGACCCTTTGCGGGGATCGCCGTGGTCGAGGTGCAAAAACTCGAGGTTTTTGCGATTTCTGCGGTGCTCGCGCAACCCTCTGCGGGAATTGGCGTGGTCGAGGTGCAAAAACTCAAGTTTTTTTGCGACTTTTGTCAGTTGTTCGAACTGGTCCTCGCGAGTTGTCTCGTGGTTCGCGCCCGGGACCGGCGGGTCGCGGGTTCGATTCCTCCCTGGTCCGCGGGCGGGCGTCGCAAGATGCAACTTGCATTTTAAAGCAACTTGCGCTGTGCAACTTGCGCAGACCAACTTGCACCGACCTGTTTGCGCAGAGCGCCTTGTGTAGAGAGTACTTGCGCAGAGCAACTTACGCAGAGCAACTTGCACAGAGCAACTTGCACAGAGCAGCTTGCACAGAGCAACTTGCAGGGAGCGCAATTTCACAGAGCAACTTGCAGGGAGCCACTTGCAGGGACCAACTTGCCGGAGCAGCTTGCGCGGAGCAACTTGCGCAGAGCAACTTGCACAGTGCAACTTGCGTAGAGCAACTTGCGCAGACCAACTTGCACCGACCAGTTTGCGCAGAGCACCTTGCCTGGTGCTGTCTCGCGCTTGCTTCACGAATGCTTCGTGTACGGAAAAAGAACGCATCCTGCAGCGTTTGGCCGACCTCGCTTGCGATGTTATGCTTTCGGGCCAACCGTGGTCTAGTTAATTTGCTAGATCAATAAGACCAGAGCTTTACACCGTTTTTGTGCACCCTGAGAAGTCTCGGCTTGGCTCTCGAAATCGCCAGGGTGAGGTTTGGCAGAAGCTTCCTCAGGCTGGGTCTGTTTTGCCAATAGCGATCTCCCGAGAGCCTGGTACATGCTGCAGCAGGGTGCTTGGAGTTCAGGTGGCAAACACGTTGGTTTTTCAAGTATGTTTGTGGATGAGTTGTGTGAGCCAATCGCCGTGTCGCTGTTCGTGCTAAGTTGTAGTGCAGCTAAACAGGCATTCATGCTCCTTTTGCTCGCTCCACGATTGGTTGCTCACATGACAGGAGAAGCGCAGGCTGCAAGAGAAGCCAGCATGTTCCGTGACAGCCGACTGCGGCCCAAATGAGTACTGCATGAGTCTTGGCCTGGTAAGCAAATTCCTCCACAGCCACGGCTCCAAGTGTCCGGCCTTTTTTGCACAGGGATTTCTGAGAGCCTGATCCACGCATGCGGCAAGTTGGCCTCTGGATTTCACCAGCAGCGCCTCTTAGGAGTTGCACGAAGTGCGCAGAGTACCATGCTCAGCTTCCAAAGGAAGCGCAAAGGCCGGCTGGGGGGAGGGGTGAGGGGGCGGCCTGGGGGGCTCTGGGGGCACTCAAGCCAGACACTGGAGCTCCTTGTGAAGCTTGCTTTGAGTCGCGTCGACTCCAGGGCGCCATCTCGGCTTTGGAGTTCTGTGGGTCGCACACCACCAGATCAATTGTGGCAATCGTATCCAATGGAATGAGCTCATGAAATCCAGTTCCACTTTAAGCCAACAGTTTTGTCCCTTCCTTTGGGTTGGAGCCTTCGCAGTTCTGAGTGTCCTGAAACAATTGCGAATGCGCGAATGCGAACTCCATTGACCAAGCTGGAATATGTTGATGCATTCCAGACCCCTCTCACTTGCGCATCACAGAGATGCATCCTTCAAACGCATCCGCGCGCATCCTGCTCTGAGGCGTTGGACTTGCGACCCCTGCCGAGCCGGGGAGAACCTGTGCGAGTCTGGAAAGTACTGCACCGTGGCACATGACCCGGTAGGCGCGCCTTTCAGTTGCGAGCGTCTGAGAGGCGTTGACTCGGCCTCCATCGGAGCCATGGAATTCCCGTGATAGGTAAGCGTGATATTCTGACTACGTGTACCGTTTTTATGCATTTTGTGTGGAGCAAAAACCGGGTACGTGGAAGCGGGAGATCTTTGCCGACCAGGATTGTCATTTCACTCGAGAGGGCAGGTGCGTGGAAGTCGCTGCTATATTCATATCTTTCGGTTAAGCGATGTTTCCCACTTATGCCTTTAGCACGCATGCAGGCAGCTGCCCGACCCAGTATCCGGGTTGCAATGCTCACTCGGACTGTGATTCCGACGAGTATTGCTTCTCGTGCCAGAAGTGCGAGGAGTACATGCAAACCCAAAGTGCCTGGGCAGACTGCAGAGAGAGTTGCTCATTCTTCTTTGGTGGGTTTCCAATCGTTTGGCTCCGGATGATGGTGAACTTTGGAGCGTAAGAGCGTTTTTGAGAAGGAACCACCCAATCTGCTACAGCCCAAAGAACAAGGGCATGAGAGGAGCAGTCTTTTTGAAATGTGTCTCAATATCCTTTTCAATTGGTTGCAGCTAGCTCTCAAATGAGTGAATTGGTCACAGACTGCGGGCTCACTGCCTGAGGCGCGAACAGCTCACTTTGGCGCTGTGAGCCCTGCCCGACCAGCGTCTCGACTGCGAGTTGTCATGCGGAAGTGTCTGCAGATGCGACAACTCGATTCCTCTTGAAAATAGCTTGACACCTGGACATCGTTTTTTTCTGGAGTCATTGTGTATTGCCCCTTTCTTTTTGGAGCTTGTAGTATTTCTTGCCAATCTCGCGGTGGGTCTTCATGGCATTTGCCTGGCTTCCCTGAGCAGTGCCGCCTCATTCACTCACCAAAGCCCAACACAAAAAGTGCTCCAGCAAGGCATGACGGGTCCTTGCTCCCTTGTCGGTCCACAGATATGCCAGACAGAACTCTGCCTGTCCATCTGCAGTTCCTTCATGAATTTTGCCACCCCGTGCATAATTGTAGCCTCGTGTTCAAAGAGGCCTCATGTTGGAAGGTTTGACTGTTGTGCACTGATCCACTATGGTCAGAGAAACGACTGGCGCAGCTGCTGCAGCTTGCATTGGCTGTGGGGCTGGTCTTCAAACTCAGATTCCGAGTGCTAGAATGCACCAAAAGGGCTGGGCTGCTTTCAGTTTCCCTGGATCCTGGCCAGGAGGTGCGGAAAGTGGTTTCTTCCAGGCAGACTGACATAGATTCTCTTGTTAAACCTATGGATGGGACAGCCAGATTAGGTCTTACAGTTGATTAATGAGGATGGGATGCACTTTTGCTGGGCAGATTTGTGCCTGGGATGAAAGCGGGCAGGCAAGGGCGGCTTTTGCTCGAAGCAGTGGTGGTGTCCGATGCGCAAAGATAGCATCACAGGCGCTTGGGCGGAGCCAAACAAATGTATCACTTCATTGTCACTTCATGGATGTTAGGAGAGAATACATCTTGATCGAGCTTACTTTTAGTCAGGATCCACACACTCACCTTATGTGTGGTAGCGGAATGCAAACAAGCAAGACATGATATTGTGTTCGGGGATGTTGAGGCTTTGTCAGTATACCTGACCGCCTTGATAGAGGGCGGGGGGGCAGGGGTGGGAGTGGAACAAGTGGGAGACATGCCGAGACCTTGATGAAATGGCAGGCTCTTCATAGGGCGTTCCTTCTTTTCCAGGAGCCCCGCCCGAGAACATCTTCTTTCAGTCTTTCAAACCTCAAGGCCCCTTCTCCCACTTCGTGCCTCCGCGGTGATGGAAAGGAAGTCGCCACCGATCTCATTCAATCAATAAGACCCTGCAGGGGGAATCGAGTTTCACACAGTGGGTGACAGCCTTGCCAATGTATTTGGGGAGGGAGTGTAAGCATGTGCTCTTTTTCCAGACAGCTTCATTTGATTCCAGACGCAACAGTGCCACCAGTGGACTGGAATCATCAATGTGTTCAGACTTGCATGTTTGCATGTGTCAAGAAGCTGTACTTTGTGCAAGAGTCGCTCCAGGATTGGTTGCCCTTGCAGCACGTTGTTGCCCTCGCGAGGCAGCTGCCCACAGGAGCCAGGCTGCGGCAAGCATTCAGACTGCAAAGAGGGGGCTCCTTGGCTTGCACAGCGAGCATGTGTTTCTTTTAAGACAGCATTCTGGAGAAATGTTGCTTTCAAGAGGCCTTGTTTGGTTGATTGGGAGAGCCTTTTTTTACAGTGGTCTATCATGCATGCTGTTGTGCATGCTCTTCACCCTAGCCCCAAGCGTGGCCACTCGGTTCACAGAGAGCTGAGGAATACTGCGAGAGCTGCGAACTTTGCCTCAAGTTCCAGCAGAGTTTGCCAGCGAGCCAACAGAGCCTTTGGCCCTGCACTGGCTGTCCCACCGCCGGAGGCCGGCTGAGTGGCTCACTCTTGGCAGAATTTCGCCTTGTGGCTCGCTTGTGTTGGATGCCATGCAATGGAGCACAGGTGGCATTTGCGAGCCTGCTCGACTTTGTCAAATGGCCGCCCGGCCCGATTCGGAGTCGAGTGATAGCCATTTGCGCGGCACTGACACCCCTCTCAAGCATTGCCTGAGTTTGTCAGAGGTTAGGGCCCGCATGTACCGGTATGTTCTTTGAAGCTGAGGCCCGCTTTCTTGGGGAGTCCCCACCACTCAATCTTCAAATTGGCAGACAATACATAACTCTCCAACATTTCTGCGGTGTGAAAGCCTTACCCCGTTTCACCCGGCAAGAATACACTTTTGCCAAGCCAACATGACCTGGCATTGCCCTTCGGACTGTTGCGCATTCGTGCTCAGTTGTGAAATGACTACCCTAGTGCGTGCGTTTGGTTCATATGCACACGTCCCAGATGACCTTTCTGGGATCCAGTTGGTGCAGTGAAGATGTGGGGTCATGACTGTAAGGTTAAGGACTGCATGCTTGTCTGATCCTGAGTTGCGGTCCTACAAAGCCTTGAGGCGAACGACGGCATTGATCGTACCTGCCCACCGGAGAAAGGCTGCGATGCTCATTTGCAGTGCAAACCTGACGAGCAGCTTGGCCGGTTTGCTGCTCGAGTGTGAAGCATACGACTGTGGCGGCTGGTAATTCACCATTTTGTTAGTCGTGTCATGTCATTCATTTCTTCTGGAGACCCACGTAAATCCACGATGTCATGTTGTGCGGGCTTAGGCGGTAAGTAGCTATTCACAGGTTTTGAACGCATCAGCTACTTCAGAGACGTCCTTGTTTGCTGTACTGATAGGAGCAACAAGATGTGCATTTATGTATATATATATATGTATATGGTCCCACCACCCCACGGACTGACCTACCTTTTTTGAATGAAATCGGTCGATAGGAATCACATCAGCCCCAAATAAAAACGACAGATACTCATTCGGGGCCCGGATTCAAGATTCAAGATTCCAGTAGGCGCGAATGAATTGTTCGGTTTCATTCGGGGTTTGGTCCTAGTCATAGTTGAGAGATCCTGGTTCCAGTCCTAGTTCGGTCTTAGTTCTAGTTGAGAGATCCTGGTTCCAGTCCTAGTTCGGTCTTAGTTCTAGTTGAGAGATCCTGGTTCCAGTCCTAGTTCGGTCTTAGTTCTAGTTGAGAGATCCTTGGTTCTAGTCCTTGGTGGGCAAATCATGAACGGGAGAGGACCAAACATGGTTGTTGGAGGGAGGGGGGGAAGGGTGGTGGTGTTGGCATATTATGTATATATATATATATAAATACATACATATATGTATTTATCGAGGTAGGCAAACCCGCTCTCTGTCCTCTTGGACGGTTGATAGCTGGGGCTGAAACAAGCAAGCCAGGGACTTTATCGGGTGCTTGTTGCAGCAATGAGCGCGAATATGTCTGAAAGAAGGGAATTTCCTTGCAAGAAATCCTAAGTGAGGTGGGAGGGACGGGCTTCTGGGCAGAGGGTTTTTGGCAGGATGATCATTCTAGACTTTCGACACGGGCAACTTCCATGAAGGATCCTGATCAAGCTCAACACCACGTTAAAGTTCCGGCCACGGAGAAGCTCAACTCCCCGTCGGGTCTTGAATCTCAACACATGCCACAAACAAACCAACAGCTCCTGAGCTCATGTGAGCCACAATCAAAACCTGGGTAGATGAAGGTTAGTAAGGGGTGATCCCAACCATAAATAGCTGCGGCCGCCTTCTTAATCCTGTACATGGTTCTGGGTAGACCATTTTAACACCAGGTTTTGATTGCGACTCATGTGTGCCCTTGTCGTGTTTGCCTTTGCATGTCAATATGTCTTAACTTTACAGAGTACCGGCATGAACATCACATTGAGCGAACAAGATGAGCGCCGTGAATTCACAGCAAGTGGCCACTGGTGAGCTTGCGCCAACCAATTCTTGGCTCAGGTACTGTATGGACTGCAACAAGTGCACCACATATCGTGATAGTCTACCACCAGCGCAGCGCAACTTTTGGCCTTGCGGCTACTGCCCGACAGGCCTGCAAGTCGAGCCACTGCCGCACAAATCTTTAGGAGGTAACATGTCTGGAACGGCTTCGGTGCAGTCGATTCCCAAAACCACGTGGGCATAGCAGAATTGGGTACTTGACACACATCAAGGCCGGCTCTGAGTACAGTGTATGGGGCAACGCGACCATGGTAATGCACCTGCCTGGGCTGTGTGCCTTCAGGCAATGCCGAGGTTCCGCCCCGTGCACATGCACAGGCAAAGACGAACGTGAACACACATGCACTCACAGTCTTACACACACACACACACTCAGGCAGCTGACAGCCTCTTTAGCTGTATGATGTTTGTGCCGTCGGACTTTGTGTTTGATCTTTGCAAAGAGCCCTCTCATGCTTACTCAAGGACTCATTTAGATGCTTAACCCAGGAATATCGTCGAAGCACAAGTGTCTCGTGCTTGCGTGTCAACACCACACTACGGTTTTGAACGAGCACGGTCCGTACAAAGAGCATGCCAATGTCTCCACCAACTTTCGATGGGCTCAGCTTGAAGTGCTCTAGTGCCTTCTGGGGCTCTGTTTCAGGCCGCGGTGGTCATTGCGAGCGCCGGGTCTTTTGCTCTGTGGCGAATGACGGGGTTACCGACACCTGCCCCATCTACGAAGGAGCGCAGATGTAGTGATTGTGGGCGCGGTGTCAAGACCACAACATTTGTCAGCACAACGCCAGGCAGGCAGCTGTTCATTTTGGGATGCAAGCTTGTAGTCCTCATCCCCTTGTTTTGACAAAGCAGTATGAAGACCATTTTGCACAAGCCGAGCTGTGTTTGCCGCACCACCTCTGAGCAGCCCACTTGAGGATCAATTAAGCGCCAATCATAAATTCCTGAGAAGACCTGAGTTTCTAAGAGACGTGCTGCCGACTGTGGCCTGCGAGGATGCTTCAAGCATGGTGATTGCTCAGAGGGCGAGTTCTGCTGGAACTGGGATGCTTGTGAGGAGGAGGACGTGCACAAGTCAGGTGTCTTGGGCTGAAGTGCTGTTTTTTTGCAAGCCGTATTTGGCATCATTGCCTGTTCTCGTTTGCAAATAGGGCCATTGAACGATCGCCTTCGCGATTGGGTCGCACATGCTGTCAGCATTCCCCCTGCTCCCCCTTGCATCACATGATTTCTCCCATGAGCAGCCGGATGTACCCCCAACGCAAGCGAGAGAAGCGAGCGAGAGAGAGAGGATGGGAGGAGCACTTGCTTATTTGTTGCCAGGGGTCCAAGTGCCGTCGATGTAAGGCAACTGCGGAGACAAGCCGCGGAAGGACCGGACACTGCCTGTATTTGTTTTTGTGGAGGGACTAAATATATAGTTATACTCTTCCGGTACTACACATGCAGCCCAACGTGTCACCATTTGTGGAATCTGTCGTGCCCCCTTTTTGGCTTCCGTCTCAATTCGCAGAGTACCGGAGACCCACTGGAGTCGGACATCGCTCGCCAGGATGGCTTCTGCAACCCAGTGTCCACCTGCACTTCCAAGCGCTCCATCGACGGCCACTGCCGGGGCGCGAAGTCCTGCAACAGCGCCCTGACCAAAGCGCCAGTCGAAGGGCCCTTTGGTGTTTGAATGGAAGAACAGTACATACAAAACATACAAATACATGCGATACATCCAGTACATATCATCAGCTCTGTCAAATCCCAACAACTTGATCTCAAGAAACATTGCTGCTTGAGTCTGGTTCACTAGTCCCGGCTTGGGGTCTTATTTGGTGAGGATTCCAGCATCCTAAATTGGCCATCAGTCTTTGTGTGTTGCTCTTTGCTTTCCCTGTTGCACTCATTCATGTCCTGTTCTTCTGCTTCCTGTAGTCATCGAAGTGACATGAAAGAAGTGCCCCTCTTTCAAGGTGGTGCCGAGCAAAACGGGCCTACATGTTCGGGCTCGTGGCAATGTAATGTGATGCAATGTAATGTGATGCAATGTAATGTATTGCAATGTAATGTAAATGCAAAGCAATGGAATGTAAGTACACTGCAATGGAGTGTAATGTCATGTAGTGTAGTTTGTGATGTGATCTAATTCATGATGTGATGTGATGTGTGTGATGCAATGTAGTGGTACGGTACTATACGGTAGGGTAGGCCACGGTAGGGTAGGGTATACCGTTCCCACTGTTGTATGGCTGCATGTCAGGGATATTTAGTAACCGTGCGGTTCCTCAAACCATTCCTTTGTTCCAAAACGCAACATGCTCAGGCTCGCCAAGTGCACACTTGGAACACGGGCAAATTGCAACCCCACCTCATTCCCAACGGGATCACACCAAGAGCCCCCCAAGTAGTTCAACATAGGGCAGGCCCCAGAAAATGTGGAATTTGCCTTGGTGATGCTCGAAGCTGCTGTGGGGCTGGGAAGTTGGCCATTGACACCATTCCCGAAGATCCTAGCGATTGGGCAAGGTCACCGGGAGTGCGGCCGCGACCTCTTTTGCAGCCTCTGGACGGAGTGCCATCAGCGGTCCCCGGACATTTGCGGGCCACAGCCAGCTCACCGCCGCGTGGACCACAAGCTGGGGGCGTTGCATGAAATTCAGGACCCAGCGGAGTGCAGATGTTGTCTCCTACAAGGTGTTCGAGGTACCCTATTTTTGAGCCACGCGCGGGGGCAATCCCAGGGGCAGGGGTTCGTTTGGGTATCCCTTTAAAATGACGCCATCCTGAAGAAAAGGCCTGCCCGCTGTGGAATTTCAAGAGCCACATGTTTCATGGTTTGATTTCCCCCTTTCTTGGGCTGGGCGTTGGATTGTCCAGCACACTTTCAGTACACCCCACCGGGTCTTTGGAGTCAAAGTGCCCAGAGTCCCTGAAGAGCGATGCGACTTGACAAGACATGCGCAAGACATTTGTAAAGACGGGGGGGTGCCCGTTGCCCAGCTAGTTGGAACCACCTCTTGCAGTTGGTGGACATAAAGCCCCCACCTAAATGGTGTGCACTACCGGGTCCACAATGAAAATCCATGGCAACATGTTTTCAATCGCATTTGCGTGGGCCTCTTCTGTACTTTGGACCACGTCTTGTATGCAGAGGTTCACAGGACAAGTGCAGACACCCCCTTAGTGTGGGTGATAGAAATGCCAACAGCCAGAACCTTGGTTTGAACGCAGGCTAGAGTTAGATACGTTGTTGCTCAATCAGAGGCTCTTTGCTTGGCGAATATTTGTTCATGCCCTGTCAGCCCTGGTTTGGTCTCCCGCTCGCTCCCGCTGGCGCATTGGTGAGGCGACGGCATTTGTTTGCCTTTGGAGAACTGTGTCCACGGCTTCCATGCCCCCCTCGGTGGCGAGTGTCCCGCCTGGTATGCCCACAACGGTACCAGAGGCTTGGAGCCGCAAGCGGACTGAAGGGGCTTTGGGCCTTGATCCTTTGTGCGTTGGCCTTTGCTTTGTGCTTCAAGTATTCAATCGTGGTTTGGCTTTTATGATTCAGGCTTTGCATGTGGAGGGCAACTTTAGCACCAGTGCAAGTTTTGAGCGGCAGTGCCACGAGTGTAGAAGTCATGGTATTCCATTCTTGTGGCACAGAGTGTGACCAGTGATGAGACGACCTCTTTTCATTGGGAATCACGTGGAGTGTGGGCTGAGCGTTGTTCGACTACGGCACGGCTCATGACAAACCTGGAAACTGCAAGACACTTTTCTTGCGGGGGATCTCCTTGAGGATTATACGTGTGCGTGTATATTAATACTTCAGTCAGACAAAAGTTTATGCTTCTTGGCTGTTTTGAAAAGATACTACCGGGTCAGCGGCGGATCGAATTAACAAGTGCGTTTTGTGTGGGAGGCGTGGGACGGTCAATTATCACCCTGTTTTAAATTTATAATAATAAAAGGCTTCCCGGGTCCAACAATTGACCGCGCGTACCCCCGTAGGACTCTTCATGAAGGATTCTAGGGGGAAAGGGTTGTAATCGCTTTGAGCTTCAAGAAGCGTAACTTTTGTCTGGCCAGTGCATGTACATGTATATATATATATATATGTATATTTCCTATACACGTATATAAACAGCTCTTCTTTGGCGTGTTATGCGACACAGCCGTTCACAATCCAGGCGGGCAGCTGGAGGTGTCAGAGGTGCTGAAGCTCAACAGCACCGCGGCTAAGTCGGGGGGGAATGGGCGGGGGCTGCGGGGCTGCGGTTTGTTGCCTTTTGGCACGCACATTCTGCGGAAGATGTTTGGGATCTGGGGCATTTGGCGTAATTTCTGCTTTTGGGGAGGTATGCCTACTTGTACTCTTGCGGAGTTGGATTGACTGGCGCAGAACAGGAATAGCACGGAAGCGCAACCTCTTCCTTGATCGTTGTCCTTTCCCCTGCGCACCGGCTTTCGGAGATCCACGCACAATCCTAATCAACCATATTGCCAGCGGTGCTCGCAACAAGCAATGCACAACGCGCGTCTCACAAGTCGGCATGCGTACAGAGGATTGCCACGCGCGGCACGGTGCACCAGTAAGCACAAAGAGGGAGCATGAATCTTGCCTTGGACCGGACTCAGCTTGCAAGTTCGCAACAATCCCCAGAGCCCAGTACCTAGGCGTTTCTGCGCTTGCTTGCCAGGCACGCTGATGCTGGCCACTTTCCACCAAGCAATGAACGCCTGGAGATGGATCCTGCCGCATCAGGAGACGAGAATGCTATGGGCGCAGTGGTGCGTGCGCATTTGTTTAGTAGCACTTGTGTGCAGCTTTGTCAATCAAATGGTTTCGGGCTTACTTGCGAAAGGCTGGAGTCTTTTCGGTTCTCCCCAAAGCTCTTCTCATATCACATCATTATCCAGGTTGGTTTGCCGTTGTCCTTTGCCAGTAGATGACACACACACACACAGAGACACACGACGTAATATTTTCGCAGGAGCGGGACCTCCTCCTCACACATTTGCACGACTATGGCGGCAACGGCACGCGCAGAGATGATGCAGAGCAGCTTCTCATGCAATTCAGGGGAGCCCAGACGCAATGACTCTTTGATTTGCCGCGGACCGTATTGTTTGATGCTTTTCCAGACAACGAACCTTTTGCCCCCAATCTCCCTCCTTTTGCGTTTGCACTCAGAGTCTCAGGAGGGCTTTGAGAAGATGCAGCACTCGGATGCAGCGATGTTCCACGCTGATAGAACTGATACAAATATGGCACCAGTGGTACTCCCATGCTTTCACCTTGCTGTCCTCCGTGTTCTCCTTTCCCGCTGATACATAAAGGTAGTCTGCTCAAGCTTGCAAGGCACTAAGGCGCGCTCCTTGATTGTTCTTCCTCTTTCGTGAAGTGCATGCCTTTTTTGTCACGTGTCCTACTTGGTGCTTTGGACGATGCCCTTGTGGCTCTCATGCCCAGCGGGACCCCAAGTCTTGCATGTTTGGAACCCCAGGCTCTTTGCGCCCAGAGCGCATGAGAAGTTTGGAATGAAGAACAACTGCAAGCTTTGGCAGCAATTAGCCATTGGAGGTGAACACGAAAGCGGACGCATGATTTGGAGTGTCATTTCAATCGGACCATGATTTGAACTGGAAAGACACGTAGCCTGTGCCAACGTTGGGATTGTTTTCGACATGGCAAGGTACGTGGGCATTTTCGAGGCTACTGGCGGCAAACTCGTGCAGCAACATCAGGTGCGCCGCATGTCATCCAAGGCCTTTCGCGGTTGCAGCGTTGGAAGGCCGACCCACTGCGAAGTGGCACATGAAGCCCCAAGTCTGCCAGAGCTGACGTAGAATCCGGTTTTGAATGTGTGGAGCGCCAGGGGAAAATTCGCTTGCCTCTTGCGCTGGGGCACAAGCCGTTCCCGCGCTCGCCAGGTGCAGCTGTCCTGTCCCTGGTCAGAGGCCCCGTGGCTTCCGGGCGGACAGCGGAAAGCGCGAGAAATGCGATGGATGGATGGCCCTTTTGAGGGCGCGCCTTCTTGCCAAAGAATGGGGCGGTAATTAGGGCTGACAGATACAACCAGCTTTGCTAGATGTCCGCACACTGCAACAGGGTCCGACTAGTGCCAGAAGCCCTGAGCGACGGACGAGTTGAGTTGTTTGCTCCAGCATGGAATTGATGAGCAGGTATTTTTCATGTGCAAGAAGCCCTGAGCGACGGACGAGTTGAGTTGTTTGCTCCAGCATGTAATTGATGAGCAGGTATTTTTCATGAGCAAGATGCTTGCCGAAATTGCAGCGCTGACGCAAGATCTTTGTCTCGGCTTGAAGGGGGGACTGCAAAGAGGTTGTCAGCTGCAATCTCTTTCCTTGATGCCCTTTTTGTTGCCTGACCGTAAAACGCCGTAAGATGCAAAATGCGGCCAGGCTGCTTTCATGGGCTGGGCCCGTAGAGAGAACATGAGGCATGGGTCACCTGCCGTTGGATGGCTGTCAGGTGGCCATCCCTGCCCGGGGCCCGCGAATCTTCGAGGCCGGGGCCTCGGTCCCGCAAAGTGTTCCGGGCAGAGTGATGATTGCCTTAGGTGGTCAATCCAGCAACGGTTCGTGAGGACTGTAGGCAGCTATGAAGGTTAGGAGCCGTGACCGTACGCCGCGCATTGGCTGTTGCACTCAAATACCCATGTTGCCAAGGAACCTGCTGTGAATAGCTATCCGTTCTTTCCCACCTTGCAGACCCAGGACGTTCTTCTTTTCCACCTTGTGCCGGCTTGCAGATATGACCACGTTGAAGAGGTAGCAGCAAGGTCCCGAATTCTTGATTTAGTGCCTTCACACTATTCATGGAGAAGAAGGTGCTGCAAACAGCAATGATAACCTGCGAGCGACACGCACGCAATCAGGATGAAGCACAGGTGTAGCCCTCTCCGCGTTTGGAAAAGTAGTACTGGACCTTCGCGACCTTCAAGATTTCGGTATATTCCACCATCTAATATCACACCTAGCCTCAATCAACAACTTCCAGCAAATTTTCCTGGAACTTGCCTTCAGATCAAGATCCCTGCGGTTGTGCACCTACGGCACGCTTCTTTGCGCGGCCGTCAACCGGGCCCACAGCAAGTGCTCATGCGCTTACAAGCAGGACCACACATGCTGCGAATGGTGATGTCCACGAACACTCACGGCCATCAACAAATTAGTCAGCAACAATACGAGTGGGACACAAAGCCAAACAGAGAAGAGACAGGCAGCCTTGTAGCCTTCTCTTGCCCGAAGCTAGCCGCCGATCATGGAGGCTGGCGGTGTGGCGAGATTTGCGCGAGGGGTGCCTGTTTCAAGCTTGGGACTGGACAGTTTGACATCAGGCCAGGCATTTTCGAGGTGAGAGAGTTTGAAGGTCGGGTCTCAGCAACAGCCAAACGCACACGTTCAAGCATGCGGCAGATGGGAGGGTGGAAATAAAGCGCCGCTTTCATCTGAATGTATTCCAATTTGGCACTGCCAGGCCGACTTCGTTTCGCAACTGTCAAATGCTGACCAAAGCCCTTGCCCTTCCAGGCTCCAGATGCAGAGGCGGGGGGCCAGTCTCTGTTGTCGCTGTAGCGCTGGATGCTGCTTGGGCGGATGTGGAATTGATTTTGCGGCATTGCCCCAAAACCCCAACACTGGCAACAAACTCACGTAGATATCCTTAAGCAATCCGAAAGGCATAGCTAAAGCAGCCGCACACCCAAGCCAGCCCCAAACATCAGCCCTTTGCCGAGCCTGACTGAACCACCAACCAACCCAAGACCCGCCCTCATTAAGATCGAAGCAGCCAAAAACCCACCGCAATTGACCAGCCCCGCGGAGCCATTGGGCAGGGCTAGATCCAAGCGAGGGTGGTGATGCTGAGGATGCGGCCAACCGGGGCTAGTAGAAAAGAACACCCCAACCCTCGCTCTCTCTCATGTGTGCGCGCCCCTTGTAAACAGCTTTGTTTGCGTGGAGCTTTCGGTTTACACGCTGAAGAATCAATCAAGCGCCCTCTTGGTGGTTGGCGTTCTGGCAAACGATCAGCAAGTCGTCCATCTTCACCTTGTTGCAAGTCGCGCGAAATAAGGTGGCCAAGCAAGGGAAACATGCCCGAGCCTAAAGATGCTATAGTATCGGCTCAGTCATATGTATTGAATGCCTGCACATGAACTCTTTACACCTCTCATGGAATCAGCATCTCCACCTCATACAATTCTCACACATTGATTCCTGGGATGGAGTCGCTGCAGACATCGAGCAGCCATACAAAACGTCTGGTTTTGGGCAAGTTTTTGAGGGCTACGAGCCCGGAATGGTTCCGAGCTATCACAAATCACGTTCATGCACCTTGGAGACAGACTCGAAATGCCGCACCACCAAAGATTTGCTACTTGCTTGAAGTCTTGTGCAATACCTTCGTCCACTTGGCAAAGCGCTCGACAGCTCACAGGTGCCGCTTTCTTCCCTCACGCTGCCAAAACAGCTGGTGAAGAGCATCGCGAGGACTGGACTGGAGAGGGTTGCCAGAAACATAGCCGTATGGTCCCGCATGGTTATCCAGTTTCAAAGCCGGGCTGGAAGATTGTGTGGCCTCTCGGTTGTTCATGGGGCAACAAATCGAGCTTAGACGAGCTGTAATCTACTTGTGTTGGTATGAAGGGAATGAGATGGGATACGCAATCGCCATTGGCCAGTGCTGTTTGATTGCAACGAGTTGCAATACAGTATCAGTGCTGTTGGTTGACCATTTCATTTGGTGTCCTCAAGCTCAGCCATCCTTGACTTGTTTTGGTCGATGGGATACATTATCGTGTTGCACCCTGTTTCCTTATGTTGCACCCCGTGTGGCGGAATTCGCAGATGGGTGCTGTTGTTCTGCCCTTAGCATCACTAGGGCCAAGCTGGAACAGTGACTCCCTCAGCTTCAGTCATTGCGGGTATGCATGCCAATCACGTTTCAAGTTCAGACTCTTCTTGCGAAGTTCACTTTGAGCATAGAGAAGATATCACATTATGCATATATATATATGTACAATGTGTGTTCCTTCGAAGCCTGAAAGCGCGTGAGATGGAGGTTAGAGGCAATCCTTCTTCCATGCGATGCAAGGCTTTAGGCAACGTTTGCCTGCAGCTTGTCAGCGTGGCTTCAGCTGGGGGGAACTGACACAGGCCTGAATCTGGTTTATCCAGTTCTCGATTCCATTGCCAACCGTACCTTGTCGGCTTGGCAAGCTCTGGCGCGCAGCTTTTGGCTCAGCAGCCAACAGTAACCAGACCAGGTGAAGCCAAGCTGTTTGGTTGTGGGTAGCCCTATTCCCGGCTTTCTTTGTGCCCTGGTCAGCAAACAAATCACATGCCGCGACATGAGCTAAGACGGCAAGGCACGACTCGTCTTTTCGAAATGAGGATTAACGCGTTCCTGAAACATGTTTTGATGTGAATGTTTGGCAATCAAAGACCATTTTACATGGTTCATCCACTTGATAATTCCAGCAAGGTTGACGCTTATCCCACCTGCTCTCCGAGTCCAAGCAAAGTCACCTGCGCGTGTGGTCAATGCGTTGAGCAGCATGCCACGTCAAGGGCGAAGACGACGCTCAGCTGAGACAAGCTCCTCCCCATGCCTCATCAGAGCTGTTGCGCGCATGGCAAGTGGCAGGCTTCGTCATACTTTCCCTTTCTGAAGCCTGATAATGTATGTGTAGGGCCTTTCTTTGCGCTCAACGTCATGCTGCTTGAGGAATTGAACACGCAGAAATGAAGGACAAGCTGCATTCATTCGAACGAGCTGCAAGCACTCTAGCACCCCCAGGCTAAACGTTTAAGATCTCAAACCCAGGCAAGAAGACGCGCACGGAAAAGGAGGCGGACATCGGCGAGAAACAGAAGAAGCTGACGCCCCGCTGCTTCGTCATTAAGCGCGGGGACGTCCCTCTGCCTTGAGTTGGGGCATATTTGGGCGGGCGTCGGGTCTGTGTTGGAAAGACTGCATATCGTTGGTTTTGGAAGGCATGGATGCATATTCAATGTAGGACGAGGTTACAGGTACCCTTCCCAAGATGGGTTTCAATGCAGATCATGCTTCGTAAGGGGGGTGACAATACCTTCTCACTGTAGGTTCATGAGTCACCACCGCCACTGCCACCACCACCACCAGCACCACAACCACCACCACCACCACCACCACCACCACCACCACCAGCAGCAGCAGCAGCAGCAGCAGCAGCAGCAGCAGCAGCAGCAGCAGCAGCAGCAGCAGCAGCAGCAGCAGCACCATCACCATCAGCAGCAGCAGCATCACCATCACCACCACCACCACCACCATCATCATCATCATCATCATCATCATCATCATCATCTGGAAAGAGTGGCCGACACATTGTTTCAGGATCCGTACGGCTGACTCTGAAGACCACCATGAGAATCGAATCATATTGGCACAGCTCATGCATCCAAGACAATTGTGCCCGTTTCCCCACTGTGTGGAGCCAAGCTCGCTGTCGGAGTTGTCTAAGTCCCGCGTAAGTCCCTGCCTGAATGCAGCTTATGCACTTGTCCAAGGTTCGGTTTCTGCCTTGGCTGCATCTTCCAAAACTGAGTAAAGGCTCGTGAGAGGAATGATGTCGCATTCGTCTTCACTGATCCGATGACTGCACATGGCCCACAAAAGCCACACACTCTTGGATCCATTTGCCTCTTTCGTTTGCTCGGCCACGGTTGCTCAGTCGGTTGTCTGAAGGGTCTTGATTGTCGCTTCTTTCCTTCCTCGCTGGTCACTTCTTCCCTTTTCTAGTCTCCAAGTTCAAGGAATAGGAATGTTTGCTCAGTGAACGTTACACGTGTGCAGTTGGCTGGTCAGGCTTGCTCCCAACGTTGGGAACTGCAAGACTCTACCAGTGAAAGGCGAACCATCGAAGCATCGACGTAGCTTGGATTTTATCAAGAGACAACTCAGCCAGGTTGGGGACCGCATCAAGGACTTGGTGCAGGACTTCCGGAATGCTCCGCGGCTGCACCGCGCAAAAGCAGGGAGCGAGTGAGGCACGGCGTTGCAGGTGATGATGCCCAACTCGGCCAAATCGCTGAAGGAGTCCAAAAACAACCGGATTGAGGACTTCGTCGCAGCCCGGGCCCCAATAACTGGCCGCGAAAGAGTGCTGTGTCTCATTGCAAGCCGCTGGCTCAGCAAAGCCTACTGTGCCCTTGGACCTGTGAGAAAGGCAGAAGTTCTCGTATGATGGCAGCTTGAGAATGTGGCCACTTGGTAGTTTCTTGTGTTGTCCAAGGGAGAGCTTTGAGTATGTGAGGTCGCCAGCCACTTCAATGTGACTCACCTCATCATATTCAGCGCTACGAAAGCGGCAGCCTGCATGAATTCAATACTTGAGCGAAAGCATGCAGCGCGGGACGATCAGTGAAATAATTTGAGGCTTTGTGCCATTGTAAACACGGACTGTTGATGGCTGATAGCTGTTGGGTAGCTCCACCTCATTCAAATATAATATGTCTACTTTTAGC